TTCATATTTACGACCGTCGCTGTGTCCCAAAGTCACATGATTCCCCCCTTTTGCGACCCTTCTGACAAGGACAGTCAAAAACGGGGAAGCCGGATTCCACTTCACGACGTGGATTTACTAACTTTTATCAACTGCGGGGATTCACTTAACAACGGTGGCAGGAGAGGCCGTAAAATGGGGGTGCAAAACTGACTTCACCAATGTCTCGCTTAATGACAGAAATTTTGGGCTCCGCTGCGGTCGTACGTCGAGGATTACCTGCCTATGTCAACCTCACTAGTTAGAAACAGGCCAGGAAATCAACTCACCCCCCCCACCCCCCAAGAGGGCTGAAATTATTATTTTTTTATTGAGAATAGCTATAATTACAGAACCTTGAAAGTCTGCTTGGAAGGCCTCCTCCCTTCTTCTACTCTGGTGAGTTAGGGAGGTGTTTTGGGCTGCTTACAAAGGCTAGTTGTCCTTGGTGGATTTAAGATAAGTTTCCTCCCTTGTTCCTTTGATAACGGTTTGCAAATCTCCTTCAAGGTCAACTTTTTTTTTACTCTGTAGTGTTGCATGCCTTTTACAGAGGTTTTAACAACAACGAGAAGTCGTGGTCCTTGGATGTGTTTTCATTAGTATTATGAGTAACGGTATTATTATATGTTTCCCAGGGTCCCCTATAGAATTGAGTAAACTTATGTATATATGTATGTATGTATGTATGTATGTATGTATGTATGTATGTATGTATGTATTTATTTATTTATTTATTTATTTATTTATTTATTTATTTATTTATTTATTTATTTATTTATTTATTTTATTCAATTTGTATACCGCCCTTCTCCTAGTGGACTCAGGGCGGTGCACAGCCAGAACTAAAACACATACCAATACAAAATTTAAAATTTTTAAAAGAATTACATGACTTTGGCCCAGAATTTAAAACATTCAAACTAAAACCCATTGACAATTTAAAAAGCTAAAAAAAAAAGGGGGGGGTGTTTCATGCCAGCCCTGCTTGATGGAAAAGAAAAGTTTTTAGGGCACGGCGAAAGACCCGGAGATCCGATATCCTTCGTATCTCCGGGGCAAATCGTTCCAGAGGGCAGGAGCTGCCACAGAGAAGGCCCTCCCCCTGGGGGTCGCCAGCCGACATTGCCTGGCTGACGGCACCCTGAGGAGTCCCCCTCTGTGGGAGCATACTGGTCGGTGGGAGGCTATCGGCGGCAGAAGGCGGTCCCGCAAATACCCAGGTCCCATGCCATGGAGCGCTTTAAAGATGGTGACCAACACCTTGAAGCGCACCCGGAAGATCATTGGAAGCCAATGCAGCTCACGCAGGAGAGGTGTTACATGGGAGCGCGCCCTCGCTCCCATAATCCCCCACGCAGCCGCATTCTGCACCAGTTGGAGCCTCCGGGTGCTCCTCAAGGGGAGCCCCATGTAGAGAGCATTTAATATATTTAATAAATATTCTAAATGGATGATTATCAGGCAGCCCTTCTCATTTACTCCTGGGTCTCCAAATAGCCTCTTTTTCTGTACTCTCCCCATCTTCATGACCCCCCCAAATTCTTCTCTTGAATTGCACTCATTCAGCAAGGAGGCATCATTTCCCCTCAAGCTTTTGTCTCAAGGATAACTTATTCACAACATGTTACAGGGAATAACGTGCAGCTACCTGCCACTTAGGGATCCCATCCCTTCATCCACGGATACCCATAATAAGCTAGACAAATAAAGAGGAAGACAATAAAAATGTCACGGGCATTCCTGAAACTGTTGTGGAAGCTTCTCACGACTGGCGCTCGACCTTTCTTGTATGGCTATAATTTATCGAAAATGAATAGGTGCAAGAGAAGAAGGGATGTTGCATTCGGGGGGGGGGTGTTCAAAAATTTTAGCAAGGGGTTCTCTGCCTGGTTACTGGATGGGCGTGGCCTAGTCGGCCTCCTGCACCATGGCGGGGGGAGGGCGTTTTTGCCCTCCCCGGGCTCCAGAGGCTTTCCTTGAGCCTCCGAGAGGGTGAAAACGGCCTCCCCAGGCTCCGGAGGCCCTCCGGAGGTCGGAAATGGGCTGTTTCTGGCCTTCCCAAACTTCCAGTAGGCCTGTTTTTCACCCTCTCCAAACTTCCACACACGCTCTGCACTTACCTGCATCCAAAATGGGCCACGTGGGGACTCCTGGGAAGGGTGGGGTGGGGTGGGGGGGTGGGGGCCAGCCAGGAGTGGGATTTAGGGGTTCTCCGACTGCACAGAATTTTAGCTAGAGGTTCTCCCGAACCCCTGCGAACCCCCAGCAGCCCACCCCTGATTGCATTGCATTTAAATAAATAAATAAACAAATGAATTTCCAAACTGCCAATCTTTAAGGAAATTTTCTCTTTATTCGAGCACAGCAATCTGATCCTGACTCTTTCGCGGTCAGTACTGACCTTTGCCCCCCAATCCCTCCCTTTCCGATCCCCAATTCTCTGCTTCTCATTGGCTATCTTCCAAGTCACTCTCCTGATTCCTTCTTCGTCAGATCACAGGAATGTCTCCCCCCTCTCCCATCTCCGAGTAGACAGAATCTTCAAAGGGATTTAGCAGGCAAAAGTTCAGGCTTCTCCTCCCTTTATTATATGTCAGTGCTGGAACGCTGACAGAAACATATATAGAAAACCAGGAATCGAAGAATGGAAATCCTACTTGAGTAAAGAGTAAAGAAAGCAAATTATCATTGTGGGAATATTATAGGCCTCCTTTCTTCCCCAAGGTTGGCCACATGAAATATCCCTGATGTGGCCCTGATGACAAGTAAGACGTTCATGGTCATGGATGCAAAAGGAGCTTGTTTTTATTTTTTGGGGTTTCCTTTGTTTATCAATGTTTTATCCAATATGTTTAACCAGATCAGTTAAAGACTGAGGTCAACGTAATTGTCTTGTCTGAAATGGCATAGGGTTTCCTGCCCGAGCAGGTGGGCTGGACTAGAAGACCTTCAAGGTCCCTTCCAACTGTTATTCAGATTAACAAGAGTTGGAAGGGACCTTGCAGGTCATCTAGTCCAACCCCCTGCCCAAGCAGGAGACCCTAACATCTGCCTCTACCTAGGATCGAACTCACAACCTCCTGATTGTGAGGCAAGAGCTCCACCTCTGTTCTGTTCTGTTTAGTGAAGCATGAGGGTGAATTTTTGTGGGAGAAGCCGGATTATTGTGCATGTAGAAGATGGCTTACTTTGATAAACAAGCTCAGTATGTTGTGTGTAGACGTTCAAGCCAGTATTCAGACCCGTTTCTTGACATTGTTAATACTCTTTTAACGCCCAGCCTACACTCCATGAATATAGGGAGCCCTCGACTTACATCTGGTCACTTAACGACGGTTCAAAGTTACAACGGACCCAAAGAAAGTACTGATGACCTGGATTCAAAGTTCCAATGGCTGGACCCTTCCCTTAGTCATGTGACTGCATTCTGGGTGCTTGGTTGGTTGCCTTTTGCAGCATCTGTGGTCAGGTGACTGCAATTTGCGGGATTTTTTTTTGCTGGAAAAACGGGATGGAGCCCATTAAACGGCTCGTGTGATCTGCTGTCACTGGGGTGGGGGGGTGATTTTGTTATATTGTGCTATATTATCTGATTCTTTTTGTTAGTTTTTATTGTTTTAAATGTGGTTTTATATTCTGTAAGCCGCTTTGAGTCGCCACGGGAGAATTGGCGGCAATATAAATTCAATGAATAAATCAAAATAAAACACTAATGGCGGACAATGGGTTCATTTAACACCGGTGGATTTGTTTAATGACCATGGTGCTCTATGCCGCAAAAAAGTCCAAAAAACATGACCCACTTAACGACCGGCATGACTTACAACCATAATTCTGGGCTCAATTAGAGACCTAAATTGAGGACTATCTGTATTCTATGCACTGCAGTATTCTTCAACTTTTTTCAGGACTGTTTCCAATAAGTTTAGCAAACACTGGTCAGATACGTTCCAGCATACAAATGCCCTTTGTGACTTGGTGTACAGGTAGCCCTCGACTTACAAACAGTTCATTTAGTGACCATTTGAGATTACAACAGCTCTGCAGTGACTTATGACCGTTTTTCACATTTACGGCCATTGCAGCATCCCCATGGTCGTGTGAACAAAATCCAGACACTTGGCAACTCATAGATATGGCGTGATCCCTTTTTATGACCTTCTGGCAAGCAAAGTCAACGGGGAAGCCAGCTTCACTTCACCTCTTTGGCAAGAAAGGGCATAAAATGGGGCAAAGCTCACTCGGCAACTGTCTCGCTTAGCAACAGAAAGGTTGGGCTCAATTGTGGTTGATAAGTCGAGGACAACTGTTGTGGCCTGCCAGCGGCCAGTGGCCAGCGGAGCTGGTGGCAGACTCAGACAGTGAGGAGATTGGGGAGGAACATGGGCCGGTCCTGGAGAAGACTCTGACGAGTGCTCTGCATCAGAGGCAGAGATGGGGCCAGGGCCGTCTGACAGTTATCAGCTGCCTTCGGAGTCAGATATCAGTGGGGCAGAAGAATAGCTGGAGCCTGTTCCTAGTGTGTGCATGCACAGAGCTGCCAAGAGAAGGGAACAGCTAAGGAACAAGGGCCGACTCAGGAGTAAAGCCACAGATGGACGGTGAATGGCCCCTCCCATAGGGATTAAAGAGGAGCGAAAGGGGAGGGGAGTTTGCAGGAGACAATTAGTTCGCTTAATTGGTTCGTGACTCTCAGAGACTTCTTGCCAAGTTTTGAAGATATCGGCCTGGCAGCTCTCCAAGCCAGATAAGGTCTGTGGCTGTAAATTCTCCCTTGAAAGACTTTGCTGGATGTGAATGAGAGGAATTCACAGTAACTTAATAAAAAGGGTATTTTTGTCGGGACAAGGAATCTGCTTCATGCTCTTCGGTCAGAACAACTACCTGTATACAATCAACTCTGGTGGACACTGGCCCCCCCCACCCCCCAGTGTAAAAATTACCTGTGCTGTTTAAAAAAAAAAAAAATGAAACCCAAGACCAGTGAGATCCATTTTATTTACACGGCAAATCTCAGTGCTGATGAACAGGGGATTGAAAGTGTAACGTTGCAATGTGAAACCACTTAATTTTATTATCGAGACATGGTGCGTTAGCTGGGACACATCTTAACCCTACATGGAGTTGAGACCTTTGAGAGACTCGGGAGACCAATTTTTAGATATAAGCCCCCCCTCCCCCCAAATAAAACCCAGAACAGCCAAGGCCACCACCTTCTGGAAGAAGAGGAAAAGCTGCTGCGTTACCCTGCATACAGTAGTGTCACTTTTTGTTATTGTGTTGTGTCTCCCTCGTGATACGATCACATCTGAGAATGGAAACGAAGACGGGCTCCTATCCCCATACAAAAAGCATCACCATCTGACGGGGGAGAGGGAAAAGGGGAGGAAATTTAAGGCTACGCCATGAAAAAAAAAAACAGAAGCCATTTCAAGGGAACTTGGCTTGCTTGCTCGAGTGGTGCTTGGAGTGGTGCTGCAACTCTTCCCAAAGGTGGTGGGTGGTGGGTGGGGGGGGGGGGGAGGGAGAGAAGGCAAGAAACGATCCAGTTTCCAAAGGACGGTTTGCAGCTCCAGCCCAATTCCTGGGAGAAGCTACTCAACGTGCAACATTTAGCAGCATCTGACACCCCCCCCCCCCGAAAGCCTTCTTTACATTCCTCGGCGGTGGGTTCAGTTCTACCGACAGGCAGGGGGAGAAGAGACAGGACAGCTCGGAGCAGCGATGTCTCTTCCCCATCCCAACTCCTTCCACTACATCAGCCCTGGGCGCCCCCTTCTCCTCCACCTCTCCCTTCAGCTGTCCTTCCATCCCCGCCCAGCAGAGACTTGGCACAGATCCAGCAGCGGAGTTGGCAACTTGGGTTACTTTCGTCCACTTCTCTTTCCCGGCGGATGCTGGTTTCCCGGGGGAAGGAGGGGGTCAGCTTGGCGGTTGGCACAGCCGACGTTCGCCCAACGGCAGTGGAATCCCCCGGCGACTCCATGGGGCGAGCGGGAGGGCTGCTGCAGGGCGTGTTCCGCTCCCCATCAGCTCACGCACACAGTCTGGCGGTTTTATAGGAAACCTTCTTTCCGGAACTGCTCTTGCAAGGTGTCTCTGTACTCGTCGAAGCCGCCCTCGATACGCTGAACGGTGCCGTTGCCGCACACCCACAGCTCTTTGCACACCAGCCGGATGAACCGTTCATCGTGCGAAACTAGGATCAAGCCACCCTAGAACAAAAAGGGAGGGAGGGAGGCTCACATCACAAGAGCCTTGGTGGCGCAGCAGACTAAAGCACTGTTAAGTAACATCAGCTGCCTGCAATTACTGCAAGTTCGAATCTCACCAGGCTCAAGGTTGACTCAGCCTTCCATCCTTTCGAGGTAGGTAAAATGAGGACCTGGTTTGTGGGGGCAATAAGCTGACTTTGTATAAAAAAAGAACACTGCTTGGGGGGGTGGCCCGAAAGCCCTACTAAGCAGGTATATACAAAAGTATGAAGGCTATTGCTTAACGCATTGTAAGCCGCCCTGAGTCTCCAGAGAATGGTGGCATATAAATCGAACCAATAAATAAATAAATAAACAAACTGGGCAGAGCATATGCCGCAAGGTCAGCTGTTCCCTCACTACAACTTCCTTGCCGTTTGGTTTTTAATACGATGAAAAGCCCTTGGTGCTCTCTGAGCTTGGTTGATTTCTTGCAGAGGTTTTGATCCCTGTCCACGTAACACTGATGATGTGATCTAGTCTGGGTAATGAAATGTCTGCAAGAAAACAGCCAAGCTCAGAGAGCACCTCGATTCAACCTTGAGCTACAAATATTCTCCTTTGGCAATAGCAATAGCCCTTAAGACTTATATACCGCTTCATTCTCCGGAGACTCATTTGACTCATGGTCATTTCTTTTTACTACTGGTTCTGTGGGCGTGGCTTGGTGGGTGTGGCTTGATGGGTGTGGCAAGGGAAGGATACTGTAAAATCTACATTCCCACCCCACTCCAGGGGAAGGTTACTGCAAAATCCCCATTTCCTCCCAATCAGCTGGGACTCGGGAGGCAGAGAATAGATGGGGGCGGGGCCAGCCAGAATTTTTAACTACCGGTTCTCCGAACTACTCAAAATTTCCGCTACCGGTTCTCCAGAACTGGTCAGAACCTGCTGAAACCCACCTCTGCTGCAGACTTACCCGGAATTTGTTGAGTGCTTTTGCTAGAGCTTCTATGGTTTCCATGTCCAGGTGGTTTGTTGGTTCATCCAGTATATAGAAGTTGGGGCTACAAGGGGGGAAAAAATGCAATTATAGTACAGGCAATTCTTGATTTTACAACTTTGAGGCTGGAATTATCACCATAATTCCATGATGGTGGTCATTAAGTGGGTCATCACAGGACCATGCCTGATTTTACTACCTTTTTTTGAGGCGCTTGTTAAGGGACTGTGACGGTCGTAAAGCAAACGCAGCTGTCACCAAGCAAAGCCATTGTCTACAATGGGTGGGTTTGTTTGTTTGTTTTTTGCTGGAAAATGGAAATAAATGCCGGCTTCCGGCAAAAAAAAAAAAGTCATAACTTGTGCTCGTGTGACTATGGGATGCTGCCAAAGGCCATAACTGTGGGCTAGTTGATAAGTGCCAAAAATATGATCTTGTTCCCTCTCCATGTTAAGGACACCCTCTCTGCCAGTGGTGAAATATAAAATTTGTTACTACGGGTTCTGTGGGTGTGGCTTGGTGGTGGGGGTAATATGACTGAGTGGGCGTGGCCAACTTTTTTTTTTTAAAACTTTTAAACCCATTTTTTCTGCAACCTCTTCAGCTGAAGAGGTTGTAAAAAAAGCTTTTAAAAGCCTCTGACGATCAAGCAACTCAGCTGGGATCGTCAGAGGCTTTTAAAAGCATTTTTTTTCTACAACCTCTTCGGCCGAAGAGGTTGTAGAAAATCCCAGCTGAGCCGCGATCCCAGCTGAGCCGCGTGATCATCAGAGGCTTTTTTTTTTTTACTTTTAAAAGCATTTTTTCGACCAAAAAGGTTGTAGAAGAAATGCTATTTAAAAAAAAAGGCTCTGATGATTGCGCGGCTCAGCTGGGCATGGGGATGGGTGGGAGGGATTTTTGCTACCGGTTCTCCGAACCACCCGCCGCCATTGCTACTGGATTAGGCGATCTGGTCTGAACCGGGAGCATTTCACTCCTGCATTTAAATAATGCAAAAAAACAAACAAGCAAACAAACAGCCCACCCCCACCCCCACCCCCCCCACCACCAACAGAAAACAAACCAACAATAACAACCCAGCCGGATTACCAAGGCATGGTCATCTGGGCAAAAGCCACTCTGCTCTTTTGGCCCCCAGATAGGCTGGCAACAGGGCGGACGGCCAATTCTCCGGAGACTCCGTAGCATCCCAGCTGATGACGGTACTCCTCCTCTGATTTCCCTAAATCACGTGGAGCAGAAAGAAGAGGTGTGAAACCCATGCCTAAAACGTTATAAGCAGTAGTGGTTTCAATTTCGTTTGCTACCGGTTTGCTCGCGGGTGCGCGCATGCGCAGAGACATCCGGGCAGGTGGGCGGAGCTTCCTGCCATTGCCGCTACCGATTCGCCCGATCTGGGGCAAACCGGTAGCAACTTTTATAAGAGCCGAGGTGGCGCAGTGGTTAGAGTGCAGTACTGCAGCTACTTCAGCTGACTGCTAGTTCAGCAGATCAGCGGATCAAATCTCAGCGGCTCAAGGTTGACTCAGCCTTCCCTCCTTCCGAGGTGGGTAAAATGAGGACCCAGATTGTTGGGGGGCAATATGCTATTTAGTATACTATCTTTGGTGTAAGCCGCTCAGAGTCCTCGGGGAGAGGGTGGCATAGAAATATGAATAATAAAATAAAATAAACTCACCACTGGTTATAAGGCAAGATAGCTAAACCAAAATCTCATTATCCCAATGGCCAGGTGTGACTGGGAAGCCAGGCTGAGGGATGCTACAAGCCATGCTGATAAGGGCTTACGGGGGTTAAACATTACTATTTGGAACATTCATTTGTGACTGGATTCACACTGCATCTTAAGAGGCGACTGTTTTAAACATGCTTGTTGAGACAGAACAGTCTAACATTAAACCATACCTCCCACGGTTTATCAACCGTGGAGCCGTTGGTGTCTCTGCGAGGTTGGTTGTTTGCTTGCCGATGTTTCATTACCTGACTAGGTAACATCGTCAACGCTGGTCATTATGGGGTTTGCTCCCTGTTTATAGACAGTAGCTTGCCTTCCCCGTGTTGGTAGGGTATGGTTTTCTCCTTGGTAGTGCCTAATTTAGGTTACTGTTTTCTGCTTGGTTGTTTGTCTGGGGTTAATCCCTGCTTATCTGGGTGTTCAGCCCCGAGAACTACGGATATTCTCCTTTATTGGTTTACAAATGCTAATGGGCAAATTTATTCACAGTGGTATGAATTTGGCCACAGTGGCTGATAGACCATGGTTTGTGGCTTATTCAAGGAGATGCAAAAAATAGGACTAGGGGCCTATAAAGCCCGCCAGCATACTTTCTCTGCCTCTCAGATTCAATGAGAATAGATGAGCCAAAAGCAGAATAATACCCCCCTAACCCGGTGGTGAAATCTAAAATTTGTTACTACCGGTTCTGCGGGTGTGGCTTGGTGGTGGTCGGGTAACGTGACTGGGTGGGCATGGCCAATTTTTTTTTTACTTTTAAAACCATTTTTTCTACAACCTCTTCGGTGAAGAGGTTGTAAAAAAATGCTTTCAAAAGGCTCTGACGATCCCAGCTGAATTTATTTATTTATTTATTTATTTATTAAATTTATATACCGCCCTATTCCCGAGGGACTCAGGGCGGTGAACAGCGAAAGATAAAAATACATGTAATACAAACGTTAAAAAACCAATTAAAATATACTAAACACTCTGGTCCTAGATAATTCAAGACATCCCAGTTTAAAACAAAATCAAAAGCAATATAAAGGGAAAGTTAGGCCAGGCCGGCCTGCTGAAACAGGAATGTTTTGAGGGCATGGTGGAAAGTGCGCAGATCCGGGATCTTCTGTATCTCTGGGGGGAGCTCGTTCCAGATGGTGGGTGCCCTCACAGAAAAGGCTCTCCCCCTGGGGGCCGCCAGTCGACACTGTTTGGCTGACGGCACCCTGAGAAGCCCCTCTCTATGGGAGCGTACTGGGTGGTGAGAGGCTATTGCCTGATCGTCAAAGGCATTTAAAAGAAGAAAAAGGGTTTTTTTCTTTTAAAAGCCTTTGATGATCCCAGCTGAGCCGCTCAATCATCAGAGGCTTTTTTTTTACTTTTAAAAGCATTTTTTTCGGCCGAAGAGGTTGTAGAAAAAATGCTTTTAAAAGTAAAAAAAAAGGCTCTGATGATTGTGTGGCTCAGCTGGGCATGGGGAGGGGGGCAGGGATTTTTGCTACCAGTTCTGCGAACCACCCGCCTCCATCGCTACCGGATCGGGCGATCTGGTCTGAACTGGAAACATTTCACCCCTGCCCTAATCCCCTCCCCCCACCTATGTTAAGAGATGGGAAGATGGAAAATGAGTGTCTTAAGACCAATGCCATAACGTTGATGCCTTTTGGACTATGGGTTTGACAAAAGCCAGCGTGGCCCACTGCTCAATAAAAATTGCTGCTGGCTTAACATGTTCCAGGAACCCTTGCCAATTAACTCAGGATAAAAAGCCACGTTTTAGAATGAGGTTGTAACTCAAGTCACTGTCTTTAATCTTCAGTGTTCAGTAAACACAGCAGGGCAGGGAAAAGTGCGCTTAAAAGTATTTCTGATGGTTAACCATGTAGGCCATGAAATTGCAGGAACTGAAATCTAACAAATTGTGAGAGGGCATTTTGGCAACTTACCTGGAAACTTTTTTGCTAGTAGTTCTGTAGCACTAATATCCAAATCCAATTGATCCACATGATGTTGGCTGAAATAGCCGATTTTAAGATTTCTGCCCGGCAGGAAAAAAAAAAACATTGTTAAAACTAGAGTTTAAAATGGCCTATTATTGAAAACATTAGCCAAAGGAATAACTTTGCTTTTTTTTCGAGATAAAAAGTGTTCCCTTGCCTGACAAGGAGAGAATAAGAGGGATAAACTGAACTTGGCTTCTGTGGCTTAAGGAGGCGTATTTCTTACTGCGGTTCTATCACAGCTGTGGAAAATTTCAGGATCCATTCCAAAAAGGGATTCTCTTGCACAGGTTGTGCTGACATAATATCTAATCTATAACTCTTCAAAGAATCCACATTTTTTTCCCTCAGGATCACTCAACAGCAGCAAAGGGCTGCGTCTTTTTCAAGGTCAGCTTGATTTCCCTCAACTTGGAGGGATAGAGATATGGGAGGGGAATAGGAGGAGACAAGGCTGGTACTGTTCAGGGCCTGGTATTCTGCAGCCCTTAAAGCAGGGTTTCTCAATCTTAAAATGGACGGACTTCAACTCCCAGAATTCTCCAGCCGGCCATGCTGACTGGGCAATTCTGGGAGTTGAAGCCCACCTAATTTAAAGTTGCCATGGTTGAGAAACACCGTCTTCGAGTGATACAGAAGAGCAGGAAAGTAGGGCAGAGATAGGAAGCAACAGCAATGTTGCATCTCCCAGCTAACATTAGGAAGCTAAGAGTAGCGATCCTCCCCTAATGAAGGAAGGAAGGAGGAGCAGGGGGAAAAAAAGTAGCTTCATTCAGCTTTTGAGCTAATAGGCCTTGGCCTGAGCTGGGATGGTGCTTCGAAGTGGAGCTTAGGATGCACACAATGTGGCCTTTAGCCTGTGAATTCAAAACCGCTGTTCTAGTCCAATGTGCTGAGATTTTACCCAAAGTTTCCCATCTTTACAGAAAGATTAAAAGCTTATCTCCAAAGTAGACAGAAAGCAACGTAATAGATTCTATTCTATTCTATTCTATTCTATTCTATTCTATTCTATTCTATTCTATTCTATTCTATGTTATATCTATTATATATTATATCTAGATTCTATCATATCTCAAGACCTAAAATGGACACCTAAAACATCAAAAAAGCACAACAAAGAATGTCCTTTCTGCGCCAACTCAGAAAGCTCAAACTGCCGCTGTGAGCTGCTGATCCAGTTCTACAGAGGAATAATTGAATTCGTCATCTGCACCTCCATAACTGTCTGGTTTGGCTCTGCAACCCAACAAGACAGACAGAGACTTCAGAGGATAATTAGAAGTGCAGAAAAAACAATGGCTACCAACCTGCCTTCCATGGAGGACCTGTATGCTGCACGAGTCAAAAAGAGGGCTGGGAAAATATCTACAGACCCCTCGCATCCTGGACATAAACCGTTTCAACTCCTACCCTCAAAACGACGCTATAGAGCACTGCACACCAGGACAACTAGACACAAGAACAGTTTTTCTCCGAACGCCATCACTCTGCTAACCAAATAATTCCCTCAACACTGACAAACTATTCACTAAGTCTGCATTACTATTAATCTTCTCATCGTTCCCACCACCCATCTCCTCCCACTTATGACTGCATGACTGTAACCTTGTTGCTGGTATCCTTACGATTTATATTGACTGTTTCCTAGTATGATTTGATTGCTTATTTGTACCCTATGACTATCATTAAGTGATGTTACCTTATGATTCTTGACGAATGTATCTTTTCTTTTTAAGAAAAGACCCTGTTGTTCCACCAGGCTGGGCTATCAACATAATAATTTTAAATTGGGTGTTTTAAATTTCTGGGGTTTTAAATTGAGCCGAATTATTTAATAATTTTAATAATTTTAATTGATGTTTGTCTTGTGCTTTTAATAGGCTGTACACCTCCCTGAGTCCTTCGGGAGAAGGGCAGTATAGAAATAAAATTATTATTATTGTTATTGTTGTTGTTGTTGTTGTTGTTGTTGTTATTATTATTATTATTATTATTATTATTATTATTATTATTATTATTATTATTATTATTATTATTATTTACAATGAGAGCATATGCACTAAAGACAAATTCCTTGTGTGGCCAATCACACTTGGCCAATCAAGAATTCTATTCTATTTTATTTATTTTATTTTTCAAATTTCTATACCGCCCTTCTCCCGAAGGACTCAGGGCGGTGTACAGCCAACTTTTACAATATAAAAGTTAAAAACAATTTAAAATTATTAAATAGTTTGGCCAATAATCTAAAATAAAATAACCCACTAAAATAATATTTTAGGCCTGCTTGATGGAATAATAATGTTTTAAGGGCGCGACAAAAGGTACTAAGGTCGGGAATCCGACGAATCTCCGGGGGCAGCTCGTTCCAGAGGGCAGATGCCCCCACAGAGAAGGCTCTTCCCCTGGGGGTCGCCAGTCGACACTATCTAACCGATGGCACCCTGAGGAGACCCTCTCTGTGGGAGCGTGCTGGTCGATGGGAGGCTATCGGAGGCAGAAGGCGGTCTCGTAAATTCAATTCAATTCAATTCAATTCAATTCAATTCAAAAGCACATATGGCTCAGGAATCCGGGATGCTATGAATTACTTAGCAACAAGAGCCTTGGTACTACAGTGGTTTAAAGCACCCTGTTATTAACACAGCTGCCTGCAATTTACTGCTGGTTCGAATCTCTCCAAGGCTCAAGGTTGACTCAGCCTTCCATCCTTTCTAAGGTAGGTTAAATGAGGACCCAATTTGTGGGGGCAATAAGCTGACTTTGTATAAATATACAAAAGTATGAAGGCTATTGCTTAACGCACTGTAAGCCGCCCTGAGTCTCCGGAGAAGGGCGGCGTATAAATCAAATTAAAAAAAAAAAAAAAAAAAAAGTCAGCAATTTTCTACGAGCGTGTTCTCTTCTTCTCATTCCACCCTATCTCTGTAACGGTGGTTTGAAATCTACCTGTGAGCGTGTCTAATCCCTCGCACCGGTGCCAGGTCTCCCATCAGGATCTTCAGCATGGTAGACTTGCCAGCTCCGTTCTCTCCCACCTAGAAGTAAACGATATAGAAATTACAGAAACATCTTGCTGAGTTCTATGTTAGGATTCCAGAACTCAAGAGAAACGGGAGGAAACTTACTCTGATGCATGCGTATTTACTTATAGCCCTTTTAATCTGCTTTTCAATCAAAGAAAAGTAGCTGATTGACAAGCAATGGAAGAAAAGGATGGGAAGGGATGGAGGAAGCCGTAATAAATTCGAGGACTAATCCCTAACATTTAAGAATCTGTTGTGGCCGAATGAAATGGTGATAAAACACTGCCATCTATTGATGCTATACAGCCTGATACTTTTCTTTTTTTTTTGCTTTTTGGTCCTCACATGCAAATCTTTAGGTACAACAGTATGCCAGAAAAGGTGCACATAGGTGGAAATAAAGTTAAATGTACTCGCCAGTTAAAGAAACTAGGAGAAGTTATTTAAATTATTTTAAATTTATTTCTGCTGAGCAAAGCAGCAGCAATAGTAATAGCACTTAAGACTTATATACCGCTTTACAGCCCTAAGCGGTTTACAGAGTCAGCATATTGCCCCCAACAATATTTAAATTTAAGTTATTTAATTGGGTTTTGATAGGGGTTTTAAATAACGATTTTAGCTGGGTGTTTTAAATTTGGCCAGTGATTGAATTATTTTAATAAGTTTTTAAATTTTTGTCTTGTATACTGTTTTTACCATGGCTGTTCACGGCCCTGAGTCCTTCGGGAGAAGGGCGGTATATAAATATAATAAAGGAAAGTAAAGTAAAGGAAAGGAAAGGAAAGTAAGCAGAACTGCCAAGCGTTAAACCATTATATGTCATTGGCTGAGATGGGCGGTCATAGAAATCAATCAATCAAGGCAACAAATGTGACATGCAGCTTTATGAAAATTATGGACACCAATCTGTCACACACATCAGCCAAATTCTTGGGATATTTATTGGTCGCAAAATTGTTTTGCATAAAACTTCCTTTTAAAAATGCTTGTAAAAGGTTCTGACGATCCCAGCTGAGATGCCTGATCGTCAGAGGCTTTTTTTCTTTTAAAAACATTTTTTCTACAACCTCCTCAGCCAAAGAGGTTGTAGAAAAAATGCTTTTAAAAGTAAAAAAAAAAAAAAAAAAAAAAAAACTTCTGATGATCGCGTGGCTCAGCTGGGCATGGGGGGGGGGCAGGGATTTTTTGCTACCGGTTCTCCAAACCACCCGCTGTCAACGCTACCGGATCGGGCGATCCGGTCCGAACCGAGAGCATATTGTATGCACCCAGGCCAGAAATATTTCTGCTGAGCAAAGCAGCAGCAATAGTAATAGCACTTAAGACTTATATACCACTTTACAGCCCTCTCTAAGCGGTTTACAGAGTCAGCATATTGCCCCCAACAATCTGGGTCCTTATTTTACTGACCTTGGAAGAATGGAAGGCTGAGTCAACCTTGACCTGGTCAGGATCGAACTCCTGGTGTATGGGCAGAGTCAGCCTGAAATGCTGCATTTTAACCACTGTGCAACCACAGCTCCTAGCTCTTATTAGGCCCTTCTGTTAAAAACACTTGTACCCTGTTTCCCTCAAAATAAGACATCCCCTGATAATAAGCCCAATCGGGCTTTTGAGCGCATGGCAATAAGGCCAAACGCTTATTTCAGGTTTCAAAAAAATATAAGACAAGGTCTTATTTTCGGGGAAACACGGTAGTATTTCTTTTTTCTTGGTCTATCCACTGCTACAAAACAGTTGCTGAGCTATTGGATTTTTTGTTTCTTTGTTTGTGGTAGGGAATGCTTTATCGCTTCCACATAATTAACCTTTTGCCAAATATTTCATCTTACCACACAGATGCGAGAGTCCAGGTCAGCAGAGACAGAGAGGGAGCAGAAGATGTAGTTATTGGGCTCGTAGTAAAAATCCACTTCATCGAGTTGTAAGATGGGAGGAGAAAACTTCTCAAAGCCATCTGGGAACCTAAAGGGGGGAAGGGAAGGAAAAAAAAGTCCAGGGGAATGAGCAAAAATGGACGTGGCCAAAAGGTCCCTCGTTGCTTCTATTAGATCAGGAGAATCAGCTTGGCATTAATTTGCCTTATGAAGAACATATTATGGTAGGAATACATAGCAGTTACATTTTACAAAATGTCGTTTTTAATGGAATAATAAGGATGCATGGCAGGCATCATTTAGAGCAGGGGTGTCAAACTCAAGGCCCGTGGAGCCAGACCATGGGGTGCTTAGATCTGACCCGCGGGGCTGCCCTGGAAACAGCGAAGGACCAGCCCGTGGTGCCTCTGCCAGTGAAAATGGAGCTGGGGTGTGTGTGTGTGTGTGCACACGTGGCCTCAAGAGGGACGGCGAGGTTCCTCTGGAGGATAAGGCGCTCTCCATGGTCTTGCCTTCCTCTGCTGGTGACAATGGATTCCGCCCAGCCCAGCCCCCCCCCCCAGGCCACCACAGGTGCCCCCGACATGGGTGATGTCAAGCTGGCCATGTCCACCCAGGCCACGCCCACTTGGCCTTCTGAGGTCCAACACAACCCTGATGTGGCCCTCAATAAAATCAAGTTTGCCACCCCTGATTTAGAGGTATGGAGCGGGGGTGGTGGTGGTGTCGCGGACGCATGCCCACACTCATAATTCTATGCGCCCTGCACCCGCGCATGCAATCCCCACCCCCGCTCCTGGCATGCGATGGCACGGTAGGCCTGTTTTTCTTTCTCCCCAGACTCCTAGAAAGGCTCTGGAGGCTGGGGAGAGAGAAAAACAGGCCTTCCCCACTATCTCCTGAGGTCCTCCAGACACAGGAAACAGCCTGTTTCCCTACTTCTGGTGGGTCCAAAAGGCCCGAAAATCAGTTGGCCAGCGTGCGCATGCGCGCCAGAGCTAAGCTCGCATGCCCACCGATATGGCTACGTGTGCCACCTGTGGCACGCGTGTCATAGGTTCGCCATCACGGGTCTAGGATGCATATTATTGCCATTTTTGTTGTAGCTACACAGTCCTGCAACCAGACAATGCCTAGATAGGGGGGACTTGTCTGGAAAAACAGGAATTGCTGCCTGAAGAAAAGCTAGGATAATGACTTATCAAATAATGAATTAACTTGAGTCATGTAATATAGAATAGAATAACAGAGTTGGAAGGGACTTTGGAGATCTTCTAGTCCAACTCCCTGTCCAGGCAGGAAACCCTACACCACTTCAGACAAATGGTTATCTAGCATCTTCTTAAAAATTTCCAGTGTTGGAGCATTCACAACTTCTGGAGGCAAGTTGTTCCACTGATTAATTGTTCTGTCAGGAAGTTTCTCCTTAGTTCTAGGTTGCTTCTCTCCTTGATTAGTTTCCACCCATTGCTTCTTGTTCTTCCCTCTGGTGCTTTGAAGAATAGTTTGACTCCCTCTTCTTTGTGGCAACCCCTGAGATACTGGAACACTGCTATCATATCTCCCTTGGTCCTTCTTTTCATCAAACTAGACATACCCAGTTCCTGCAACTGTTCTTCATATGTTTTAGCCTCCAGTCCCCTAATCAACTTTGTTGTTCTTCTCTGCACTCTTTCTAGTGTCTCCACGTCTTTTTTACATCGTGGTGAACAAAACCTTTCCTTACAAAATCCACACAGGACTGGCCAACCTTATCATTTCTGTCTTGCCAACCAGGTGCCCGAGGCTGGGTGATTTGCCTAAGGCAGTGTTTCTCAACCTCCAACATTTTTTAAGAGGCATGGACTTCAACTCCTAGAATTCCCCAGCCAAATGGCGATCATGTGACTGCAGGATGCAGCAATAGCCAGAACTTTCAGGACTGGTTGGTTATAAGTATCACTCATTCGGCACTGTTGCAACCGTCGTTGAATGAGTATTGGCTAAGTGAGGACTATCTGTACCGAGTCTGAGAAGGCAGACAGGTGAGTAAGAAGACGTCTGCTCTTCTTTTCCTATGATGGACTAGAATATTGGGCTTTCTTGTGCCTGTCAAGATTCACTTACTTCATTATCACCTCAGATTCTTTGTCCACTGGCTTCAGTTTTGGCCTGAAAAAAAGAAAGACACCAATAAGTCTTGTTGCAGTAAATTCAAATTCAAATCTTTATTGTCAGTTCACAACACATGTACAATGAGATTGGTTGAACTCCATCAGTACACCCCCCCAACATAATACAACTCACAGTGAAGACAGAAAATCCCTAACCCAATAAATCATATTAATCTAGTAATAGATAGATATCAAATATCCAATCACTAAGCAGACACTTGGAAGCAGATAAATTCTCAGGACTGAGCACTGAAGAACTACTATAACTAGATTCACTAGATCTTGGTTTTCTTTAAAAAGAGAGCTTATTTCCCTTTCCAAGTTATTTTTTCCCTCTAATTCTGTCTCATAAGTGTAAAAGATTTCAAAGACAGAAAAAAAAAAGAGTTCACCAATTTCCCTTGGTTCATTATGAAAATCACTTAACACTATATCATCTGAATTATTCTTTATTTCATCTTTTATGGCAATTAAAAAAAAAAAAAGAAAAAAAAATTCAACCCCCCTACCAGTGGGGACAAGAGGAGAGAGAAAGATAAATTATTGGGCTAAAATAGCCAATTAGCTATTTCTGGTTTTTTGAATCAGCAAAAAAAAACTTTTTTTTATTTTTTGCATACTTTGACAGTGGCCGGTGGAACTTAAAATCAGGATCTCCTCAAGCTGAAGAAAGCAGCCCATGCTTTCCTATTTCTACCAACATCCTGTTAGTATATGTTAGTTACAGTAAGGTTTAAAGCGGGAGTCTTCAAACTTGGCAACTTTAAAGATTTGTGGACTTCAAGTCCCAGAATTCCCCAGCTGACACGAAGCAGAATCACCCAGCAACTTTAAAGACTTGTGGACTTCAACTCCCAGAATTCCCCAACCCTGCATGACTGGCTGAGGAATTCTGGGCGTCGAAGTCCACAAGTCTTACCAAGTTGCCAAGTTTGGAGAGCGCCCTGCTTTAAAGAGATAGTAAGCCTTTGCATTAATACTGTTGATAATGTTTACTGCTCTAATGATAATGCAAGTGATTGAGAGATAACTGGGGGCTGAAGAGTGTCAAGGAGCAATCTTTTCCTAACCAAGGAATACTGCACATCCAAATAATGAGAATTAGTGCAAAATATTGCTTTAGTTTATACATTTTGAGACTCATGCTGTATGCCGGGAGCAGGCCGTGTGCCGCCATTTAAGAAATTGTGCTAAATCAGCTCCTCAGTCTGTAGATCCTGCAATGATCAACCCTTAAATTGACCTAGGTCCGTGATGGCGAACCTATGGCACGCATGCCACAGGTGGCACACGGAGCCATATCAGTAGGCACGCGAGCATTGCCCTAGCTCAGCTGCAGCGCACATGCGCGCGCTGGCCAACAGATTTTCGGGCCTTCTGGGCCTACCGGAAGTTGGCAAATGGGCTGTTTCTAGCCTCCAGGGGGGTGGGGAAGGCCATTTTCGTCCTCCCCAGGCTCCTAGAAAGCCTCTGGAGCCTGGGGAGGGTGAAAAAATGGGCCTACCAGGCCCACCTTGCCATCACGTGCCAAAAGCAGGGGGAGCACGATGGGGGGGGGGTTGTCTGCGTGTGCATGCATGGGGTGGGGCACATTGAATTGTGGGTGTGGACACACACACGCGTGACCCCCTCGCACTCCCCCCCGCTTTTGGTACGCGACGGCAAAAAGGTTAGCCACCACTGAGCTAGGCCAGCCAAGCTGTCTCAGGAATTCTGGGAGTTGAAGTCCACAGGTTGTAAAAGGGCCACAGTTGCCCACCCCTGGCCTAGGCAATCCACCCAGATGTTCGTTTTCTTTGGGATACTCACAGCTTCTCCAAGAGTTTCAGTTTGCTCTGAACTTGTGACGCCCTGTTTGCATTGTAGCGGAATCGATCGATAAAGACCTGTGGGAGAAAAGCAGAGATGATTCCTGTATCTAGAAGGATGCACCAAGTGCTGCAGGGACAACGGTCTGGCAAATGAAGTTCCAGTCCATGATCCAAACTAGTTTATTTATGTGAGTTGGGCCACAGAGGTTTGGAATAGAAGGGATTCTGCCCCTCTCCGATAGCCAACCAAAGCATTAGGACCGTGATGGCGAACCTTTTCGGCACCGTGACCAAACTGGAATGCATGTGCGTGCACGTGCGCGTGCTGGAAACCCAAAAACCAGCTGGCTGGCATGTGCATGTCTGTTTTTTGGGTGTTTTTGGCTGTTTTTCAGGCCATTTTTCGGGCCAAAAACGGCCTAAAAAACGGCCTGAAAATGGCCCAGAAAAACGGTGTTTTTGGGGCATTTTTGAGGCTGTCTTCAGGCAGTTTTCTGTCACTCACACGCCTGCGAAGACCAGCTGGCGATGGCGTGTGTGCCCACAGAGAGGGCTTTGCATGCCACCTCTGGCACACGTGCCATAGGTTCACCATCAAGGCATTAGGATGATATGCAATGGAGGATGAAGAAGGTATACTCTGTGTGCATGCGGGTATAATATTCAAAAACATTTTTAGAATGTTCTTATTGCTGGGTGCACAAAAAATTCTAAGCTTTTGTTCTGTTCTAATGAAGGCCTTGATAGTACAGTGGTCTAAGCACCCTGTTATTAACACAGTTGCCTGCAATTACTGCTGGTTCGAATCTCTCCAAGGCTCAAGGTTGACTCAGCCTTCCATCCTTTCTAAGGTAGGTAAATTGAGGACCCAGTTTGTGGGGGCAATAAGCTGACTTTGTATAAAAATATACAAAAGGATGAAGGCTATTGCTTAACGCATTGTAAGCCGCCCTGAGTCTCCGGAGAAGGGCGGCATATAAATCTAATTTAAAAATTAAAAAAAAAAAAAAAGGCATATCAGTAAAGCTGAAACAGAGTGGAAAAAAGTTACAGAAGCCGCCATCTTCTGGAGACTTAACTGGTGATAAGAGAGCCAGTTTGATCTGATGGTTAAGGCACCAGGCTAGAAAGCAAGAGACCTTAGCCATGAAAGCCAGCTGAGTGACTTTGGAGCAGTCTCTCTCTCTCTCTCTCATTGTTGTGGGGAAAATAGGAAGGTTTGTTGGCTATGTTTGCCACCTAGAATTATTTGTAAAAATGATGAAAGCAGGATACAAAGGAATAAAGTTTCAATGTTTGTAAGCTGCCCAGAGTAGTCTCTGGACAAGGTGGAGGCACATAAATTTAATTAATTAATTAAGCTGGCTCTCGTGGTTACGTAGACTACACAGAGGGAAGCATTTGAGAAGTGGCAGTCCTTCTTTTGTGTGGTGCCCAGGATAAAAAGCCTTATTTTAAGGATCTGCTCTTTGCTTACCATATATCACATATCATAGGTAAAGGTAAATGTTCCCTTCACACATATGTGCTAATCGTTCCTGACTCTAGGGGGTGGTGCTCATCTCTGTTTCAAAGCCGAAGAGTCAGCACTGTCCGAATACATGTCCGTGGTCATGTGGCCGGCATGACTCAATGCCAAAAGCGCACGGAACGCTGTTCCCTTCCCACCAAAGGTGGTCCCTATTTTTTCAACTTGCATTTTTAAGTGCTTTCGAACTGCTAGGTTGGCAGAAGCTGGGACAAGTCACGGGAGCTCACCCCATTACGCGGCACTAGGGATTCGAACTGCTGAACTGCTGACCTTTCGACTGACAAGCTCAGCATCTTAGCCACTGAGCCACCACGTCCCTCTCTCATGTACAATATATCACATCATATATATTCACTATTGTAATGCTCTCTACATGGGCCTCCCCTTGAGGAGCACCCGGAGGCTCCAACTGGCGCAGAGTGCAGCCGCGCGGGTGGTTATGGGAGCAACATGGTGCTCCCGTGTGACACCTCTCCTGCGCGAGCTGCACTGGCTCCCGGTGGTCTTCTGGGTGCGCTTCAAGGTTTTGGTTACCACCTTTAGAGCGCTCCATGGCTTAGGACCTGGTTATTTACGGGACCACCTACTACCACAAACAGCCTCCCACCGGCCGGTACGCTCTCATAGAGAGGGGCTCCTCCGGGTGCCGTCAGCCGAGCAGTGTTGACTGGTGGCCCCCAGGGGGAGGGTCTTCCCTGTGGGGGCACCCACTATCTGGAACGAGCTCCCCCCGGAGATCCGGAGGATCCCGGATCTGTGCACTTTCCGCCGTGCTCTTAAGACCCTCCTATTCCAGCAAGCCGGCCTGGCCTTATTTTCTCCCCTTTCTTTTAAATTTTTAAACTGAAATTTTAATTTGTTTTAAATTATTGGGATTTTTAATTGTCTTGGGCTAAATTATTTAATTTGGTTTTAAATTGTTTCTAACTTTTGTATTTCTGTATTTTATTCTGTGCCTGTTCACCGCCCTGAGTCCTTCGGGAGTAGGGCGGTATACAAATTTAATAAAACAAAACAATAAAACAAACAAAACAATTCAATCGTATTTCATATGGCACTGTCAGATCAGTGTTAGCTGCATCACTAACCACGCTGGCTCTCTAACCTGGATATGCTCCCGGTATTGCTGCTGTGCCTCGTATTCACGCTGCTGGTTTTTGAGCCGTTCCTCTTTGATCTTGACAAAGTTCTCGAAGTCCCCACGGTAGCTGTCAAGCCGCTGGGAGTGCAGGTGGATGACATCGGTGGCCACGGCGTTTAAGAAGTTCCGATCGTGAGACACTACAAGGATGGTGGACTGCCAAGTCTAGAAGGGCCCAGAATGCAAAAAAAAAAAAAAAAAAAGGCAAAATTGAGGTCTCAGACAGATCTGAAGGTCCCAAGCTCCTTAAACTAACCCTTGCCCTCCCCCTCAACTGCGGATGGTTTTCCAAATTTTAGACAGACCTGCAAATAGTTTTCCAGCCAGATGATCGCCTTCACGTCCAGCATGTTGGTTGGCTCTGGAAGTGAATTGAAAGAAGGCTGTTTACACGAAGTCCCTTTGGACAAAATTCTCAGGGAAAGACATATACTGTATTTTTCGGAGTATAAGATGCACCTTCCCCCCCCACCCAAAAAAAAGAGGGTTAAAATCTGGGTGCGTCTTATACTCCGAATGTAGCCCTGCCCAGCTTCTCAAATGGAGGTTTCAGAGGCTGAAAAAAGCATCAGAAACAAAGCTTCAGAAAAGAAGCCCCCAAACAGAGCTTCAGATAAGAAGCCCCGAAATAGAGCTTCAGAGGCTTTTTTTCTGAAGCTCTGTTTTGGAGGCTTTCAGAGGCAGAAAAAAAAGCAAAAAAAAAAAAAAAAAAAGCAAGGCACAGAGCTCACAACCAAGGAACCTGTTGCTAAAATTCACCTCTGGGAACAGCTGATTGGGGGTATTCCAGGAGAGCGATCCACCTGCCAACCAGCTTTTTTCTTATTTTCCTCCCCAAAAACTAAGGTGCGTCTTATACTCCGAAAAATACGGTAGGTAGTCCTCAATATATGACCACAATTGAGCCCAAAATTTTGATTGTTAAGCAAGACTATTATTAAGTGAGTTTTGCCCCATTTTACAACCTTTGCTTGCTAAGTTGTTAAGTGACGCACTGCGGTTGTTAAGTTAGTATCACGATTGCTAAGTGAATCTGGCTTCCCCACTGACTTTCCTTGTCAGAAGCTTGCAAAAGGGGATCATGTGACCCTGGGACACTGCAACTGTCGTAAATATGAGTCAGTGCCAAGTGTCTGAATCTTGGTCACGTGACCGTGGGAAGGCAGAATGGTTGTAAGTATGAAAAATGGTCATAAGTCACTTTTTCAGTGCCGCTATAACTTCAAACGGTCATTAAATGAATGGTAAGTGTTGTTGATGCAATGGTCACATTTGGAATTAAACAGTTTGAAAGAACAATGCCTCCACAGTTCTAATACACCCAGAAGATGATTAAAACCAAACGAAGAAAATGAGTTAATTTAAGACAGAGATGGCCAGCTCCTTTGTAACATTTGCAAAATGGCTGAAGGAGCGGGGAGAGCCAACATTTTTTGGTGGACATTGATAAGGTTTTACTTGATGAAACGGGTGCCTAAAATCTTGCAAAGGCTTAGGAATCCGTTTTCCCTTCTTCAACCTTTCTTTCAAATTAAGCTGATTTTGGGGTGGTGGGTTACTTTGTAAAATGGGTACCTTAGCAAGGCTTAAATGAAAAGAAAGACATGATAGCAATATTCCAGTTTTTGATGGGCCAGAAAGAGGAGAAGGTAAACTTATTTTCCAATGCACCGGAAGGCAAGGCAAGAAACAATGGATGGAAACTAATCAAGGAGAGAAGCAACCTGGAATTAAGGAGAAACTTCTTAATAGTGAGGACAATTAATCAGTGGAATAGCTTGCCTTCAGAAATTGTAGATGCTTCATCACTGGAGGTTTTAAAGAAAAGAAAGGACAGCCACCTGTCTGAAATGGTATAGGGTCTCCTGGTTGAGCAGGGGGTTGGACTAGAAGACCTCCAAGGTCCCTTCCAGCTCTATTCTGGAATAAGAGCTGGAAGGGCCTTCTATTCTATTCTCTATTCTGATTAATCAATTAAATCTTCAAAGTTACCCCTTACAATAGAGGCTTAAAATTTTTGGCCAACTTGTGATAGAGATGCCATCTATCTCTGACAACTCCCAACTGCAAGAAAATTGGCCACAAATTCAGATATTCATACAACTGCCAGGAATGGCTGTAGCAATGGTTTCCAATCTAGAGAGCTTCCAAATATTGGAAGTGCGTGGACTTCCAACATGGGGAAACACTGGGTCAGAGCAATTGGGAAATCAGCAGTCCACCAGGGGATGGAAAAAAAGTCTACAGCAGTATTCCCTAGAGAATTTTTTTGAGGTTGGTTTGCACCACCCCACCTAGGGATGGGCTGCTGGGGGTTCTTAGGGTTTCGAGAGAACCTCTAGCTAAGATTCTGTGTAGTTCAGAGAACCCGCAAATCCCACTCCTCCAACCCCGCCCCTCCCAAGAGTTTCCACATGGCCCGTTTTGGATGCAGGTACGTGCAGGGCGCACATGGAGACTCAGGGAGGGCGAAAAACGGGCCTACTGGAAGTTCGGGAAGGCCAGAAATGGGCCCAATTCTGGCCTCCAGAGTCCCTCCGGAGCCTGGGGAGGCCGTTTTCGCCCTCCCGGAGGCTCGAGGAAAGCCTCTGGAGGCTGGGGAGGGCAAAAATGCGCCCCCCCCACCCGCTGTGGTGCAGGAGGCTGACTAGGCCATGCTCACCATGGCCACGCTCACCCAGCAACTGGGCAGTGAATCCCTTGCTAAAATTTTTGAAGCCCACCCCTGACTCCACCCCTTCCCTTCTATTTATGTAGGTCCACAAAAGACTTACCATCAAGCAGAAGAAGGTCAGGCCTGGGAAAATTAAAATCAACAGAAGAGGAAAGGGAGACAGAAGTATTATTAGTGCAGCAATCATCAATTCTACCTTGGCATTGCTTTGATAGCAGATTTCTCACAAAGCTTTCTATGCAATAACTACGCCCTCTTAATATTTTCATCATCACTGGAAAGCCAATCGTAACTAATCTTTTCAAGTCCAGTTATTTTTGATGGGGAAATTCTTAAAAGTTGCTTAAACCGGCCATTTCTATACAAGTCTGCACTTTTATACCATTGTGCCAGACTTGGCAGAAGGTTTCGCTGTTCTACCGTTTCCCCTAAAATAAGACATCCCCTGATAATAAGCCCAATTGGGCTTTTGAGCGCATGCACTAAAATAAGCCCTCCCCGAAAATATTTAAAGGCATGCGCAGCTGGTCCTTGCCATTTCGTTTCCTCCACGTGCCCCAAAATAATAAGACCTCCCTGAAAATAAGGCCAAGCGCTTATTTCGGGGTTCAAAAAAAATATAAGTCAGGGTCTTATTTTTGGGGAAACACGGTAATATTTCATTATTAAATTTATACAATGCTGATCAATCTGACAATGACTTAGCCCCAAATTCTGTAGGTAAATACCTAAAATTTGAAAAGGAAAAAAAAAAAAGGACCCTGCCCAAACTTTAAATTGAAAAAATTCATTACACAGGCATTTTAAAAAGCCAAATGTCTCATTCAATGAAAACGGGGTGATTTGGAAAGGTAAGGAAAGAAAGAAAGGGACATTAGATTAGTTTCATGCTGATGGACTAGACTGAAAGATTTTCTCACTGCCATGGAAGGCATCTGTCCTTTAAAAAAAAAAACTTTCCAATTTTGCAGCAGAACCGGTGCTGTGATTTAAATGTCTATGGAAATTCTCAGTCATCCAGTTATCTGAGAAGCTTCTTGCATGAGAAGCAAAATGTCTTCAATGAAATGGAGACTCCTCTGTTTCATTGAAAAAAGCATCTCCATGATTTAAGCATTCTTTTTCTTTTGGTCCTTTAAATTCTTGGAAAACTTAACTGTTAAGTATCCCCAAATATGTATGTTATCTTTTGTGCATAAAACACATACAGGTTAGTCCTCCCCTTAGGACCGTTCGTTTAGTGACCGTTCGAAGTTAACAATGGAAAGAAGTGAGATATGAACCGTTTTTCACATTCAATACCTTTGTGGTATCCCCACAATCCCGCGATCAAAATTCAGCCACTTGGCCAACTGGCAATGTATTTAAAACTTTGCAACTTTCAACGGTCACTAAACGAATGGTTGGAAGGCAAACACCTGTAATCTCATCTCCCCCTCCACCCCGCACCCCAAATGCAGTCAGGCATCCTTCCTCAACACAGCCAATTAGGATTAAGACTCTAAGTCTTAATTTTCACACCCACCATTGTTACTATCAACCCATTTTCTGGGACAAGGATTTTGAGCAGAACGGAGATCCTTGAAGACCAGTGATGGTATTCAGCCAGTTCTATCCGGTTCGGGCAAACTGGTAGTAGCGGCTGTGGGAGGCTCCGCCCACCCGCCTGGATGTCATCACGTCCCGTTTTTGACGTTCTACGCATGCGCGAAAGGCCCTGTGCATGCGTGGAGGTGTGCAGGGCGCGCATGTGCTCACATTTGTGAACTAGTAGCGAAGGTTAAGTGAATACCACCCCTGTTGAAGACTCACCGGGCAAAAAGGGCACGAGCCAAAGCCAGCCTCATTCTCCAACCTCCGGAAAACTCTCTGAAGGAAAACGAATAAAAGTAGAGAGAGATCAGTTTCCCTGGGCCAGCCGGACCCCAGTTTGCCTGTAGATACGGAAGGTCGCCTTACATTTTTCAAGGGTTGGTGTCAGAGATGGCCAAGTTCACTTCCCCCTCTATCACAATTGTAATGTGAAGGGACAGCTACCAAGCTTCCTATCTCTGGAAGCGCCCCTCTGTCCCAGCACCTAGCAGTAGGCAAGATCAAAAAGAAAAAAAAAATCTAGGATCCCATCGTTCAAATCACAGAAGGGAACAATTCAGTCTTGGCTAAAAGCCCACTTACTTGGTTGTCTGTTGCTGCATCTTTGCGCTGAAACCCAACCCGGCCAGGATAACAGACGCTCTAGAAAAGGATAGGAAAGGAAAGGTCATTTCTAGATTGCAAAAACTGGACTAGGAGCTGACTCTGGATGGGTTTAAAAAAAAAAAAATTCCGAAAGGAAAGGCAGCGATATCTGAACTTGGAATAAGAATCAATTGGAAATAGGAGTATTTAGCTAAGGGCACTAAGCCACAAAGGGCAGCAAGTGGTCATGATGCTGGGTTTATCAGCTGGAAAGCTGGCAGTCCAGGTTCGAGACCCGAGCGCCATGGGACTGGGTGAGCTCCCGTCCTCGCTCCAGCTCCTGCCGATCTAGCAGTTCAAAAGCATGCAAATGCGAGTAGTTAAATAGGTACCACTTCGGTGAGAAAGTGTAACAGTGCTCTGCAACATCGTATTGGCCACATGACCGCGGAAACGCCTTCGGACAGCGCTGGCTCAATGGCCTTGAAACGGAGATGAGCACCACCCTGTATAGTCGGTGATGACTAGCAGAGTAAAATCTGCAGGGACTTTACCTTTTTTTTTTAATGCTTCCTTCATCAAAGCACTTAAAATGACTGGAAAATCTATCAAACTGCAGGAAAAGCAGCTCAATGTGATACCTCAAAGCTCTAATATGACTGTATGACTGTAACCTTGTTGCTGGTATCCTTAAGATTTATATTGACTGTTTCCCTATGACTATCATTAAGTGTTGTACCTTATGATTCTTGACACAAGTATCTTTTCTTTTATGTACACCAAGAGCGTATGCACCAAGACAAATTCCTTGTGTGTCCAATCATACTTGGCCAATAACGAATTCTATTCTATTCTATTCTATTCTATTCTATTCTATTCTATTCTATTCGTGGACAGCCTTGTTGCTCCTCGCTAAAGCCTTCTGCTCCTGGGGTTTCCATCGATGGAAAAGCTAAAGGAAACTAATGGGTTTGTATGTTCTTTAAATCAGATTTCAGGAAGATCTAAAGTCTCTTCTTTCGATTTAAGATGAAAACAGTTAATCCTCGATTTACAACTTTTTGTTTAGTGACCCTTTGGAGTTACAATGGCACTGCAATAAGTGATTTATGACCCATTTTCCCTTAATGACCACTACAGCATTGCCATGTCACGTGATCAAAATTCAGGTGCTCGGCAACTGACAGGTATTTATGATGGTTGAACTGTTCTGAGGTCATGTGATCAACATTTGTTACCTCCCCAGCCGGCATCTGACAAACAAAATCAATTGGGGGGGAGGGGGGGAGAAAGGGAAGCAAATTCACTTAACAACTGCAATATTCACTTAGCAATGGCAGTGATTTGTTTGCGCCAAAAAAAGGTCATAAAATGGGGCGCAACTCACTCCACAACCGTCCCGCTTAGCAACAGAAAATTTGGGCTCAACAAGTGGTTGTAAATCAAGGATTACCTGTACTCTTTCCTTTGGAGAACTGGAGAAGCAGCCAATTTCTATTCGGAATTTAGGAAATTTCTGAGTTCTTGGTGGAAATTTATTACTCTGGGCTGATGGAGAAATTGCCTTTTCCCATCCACGTTACCCGTGTTTCCCCGAAAATAAGACCCTGTCTTATATTTTTTTGAACCCCGAAATAAGCGCTTGGCCTTATTTTCGGGGAGGTCTTATTATTTTGGGGCGTGTGGAGCAAGACGGGGCTCCTCTTGCCGTCTTACCTGATTTCCAGCTCTGTCTCTCTAACCCTAACCAGAGGAAATGGGCAGGGACTGGCTGCCCATGCAGTTAAATATTTTCAGGGAGGGCTTATTTTTTGGGGGGGGGCTTATTTTAGCGCATGCGCTCAGAAGCCCGATTGGTCTTATTATCCGGGGAGGTCTTATTTTAGGGGAAACACTGTATCTCCACAGACTCGTATGCATCAGGATTTCCTATTTTAGACCTCAGAACTCACCGACTACCAAGCATATAAATTCAGAGCTGATTCTGCTTCTTACAGAGACTTTCAACTTACCTTGCTGGGGCCTTGTCTGCCTCAATCTCTTCTAGACCGGCGTAGATTTCGGACAGTCGAGCACCTTCGGTGCCTACTCCCCTGAAAAGAAAAACCACGACAGAAAAGCAGCATGGTGGTTTGTAGATGGCCAAACTAGCTCTGTTCTGCACCTGAATTAGATTGTGTTCCTTGGGAACAAGTTTACCTTCCAGAATTGATAGCAATAGCACTCTTAGACTTATATACCGCTTTACAGTGCTTTATAGGCCTCTCTAAACAGTTTTAGACTCAGCCAGGGGTGGGCTGCTGGGAGTTTGCAGGGGTTCGGGAGAACCTCTAGCTAAGATTCTGTGCAGTTTGGAGAACCCCCAAATCCCACTCCTGGCTGGCCCTGCCCACCCCACCCCACCCCTCCCAGGAGTCCCCACGCGGCCTGTTTTGGATGCAGGTCGGAGGCCTGGGGAGGGCAAAAAAATGGGCCTACCAGAAGTTCGGGAAAACCCTTCAGAGGGCCTCCGGAGCCTGGGGAGGCTGTTTTCGCCCTCCCGGAGGCTCGGGAAAAACCTCCAGAGGCTGGGGAGGGCAAAAACGACATCCCCCCACCATGGTGCAGGAGGCTAATTAGGCCACGCCCACCATGGCCACGCCCATCCAGCAACCGTACAAAGAACCCCTTGCTAAAATTTTTGAAGCCCACCCCTGGAGTCAGCCTATTTGCCCACAACAATCTGGGTCCTCATTTTACCGACCTCAGAAGAATGGAAGGCTGAGTCAACCTTGAGCCATTCAGAATCGAACTTCTGGCAGTGAGTTAGCCTGCAATACTGCACTCTAACCACTGCTCCACCACGGGCTCCTGAATTATTAGACAGTGTTCCTTGGGAACAAGGTTACCTTCCGGAGTTAACCCGGGCAGTCAGCTCCTTTTCCTCCTTGAGCAGCCCCTCACGAACCGTGTCACATTCCAGCACACTCTGCAGGGCTGGCGTCTCGTCCCCGGCCACTTCTTGCTCCACGTGAAGGATGCTGATGTGCGAAGGGATGCGCAGGTTACGGCTGGCGATCATCTTCAACAACGTGGTCTTGCCCAACCCGTTCCGACCTACCAAGCCGTATCGCCGGCCGTAAGCCAGGTTCAGGTCTGCTCCTGTGAGGAGGACCCTGAAAAGAAGAGAATAAAGGACAACTGTCTCCTGTGGTTTTATAAAATGAGGGCACGTTTTTGAGAGAGGGGTTTAGAAACCTCGTTTGTGCCAGGTGAGGTGACAACTGCACTGTACCTGATGGGCAGAGGTGCAATTGCAGGAACGTCATTGTCAGACTGCGGTGCTATCTCAAAATTAAATGAATTTCCAAACTGCCAATCTTTAAGGAAATCTTTCTTTAATTGAGCTCAGCCACCGGATCATGACTCCGCACGGACAAGACTGACCTTTTGCCTCCCAATCCCTCCCTTTCCGATCCCCAAATCTCTGCTTCTCATTGGCTGTCTTCCAAGTCATTCTTCAGACTTCTTTTCCCCGTCATTTCCCAGGAATGTGCCCCCTCCCTTCATTTCCACGACAACCGGGCTTCAAAGGGATTTAGCAGGCAAAAGTTTCAGAGCTTATCTCTTGCTCTCCTCTGCTCTCTCTATGACAGCGTTAAAACGCTGACAGTCTACCCTGTTTCCCCCAAAATAAGACATCCCCTGATAATAAGCCCAATCAGGCTTTTGAGCGCATGGCAATAAGGCCAAGCGCTTATTTCAGGGTTCAAAAAAATAAATAAATAAATAAAATAAGATAGGGGTCTTATTTTGGGGGAAACACGGTAGAAAGTCACCTTATGTCAGCCCTTCCAGGTAAACCAGATAAGAAAGTAGATGAATAGAAACTAGAAGGAATAGATCAGACACCTAGCCCTTGCTTATCAATGGAGACCGAGTGGAGCAAGTGGCCAGTTTTAAGTTTCTGGGTATTATCATAAAAGAGGACCTGACCTCACATTGCAGCACTGGTCAAAAGGGCCCAGCAGAGATTCTACTACCTGAGACTTCTCAGGAAAAAAACAACTGAATGGAAAACTGCTGGTGACCTTCTACCGCTGCACCATAGAGAGTATTTTAACTTACTGCACCAGTGTATGGTTTGCCAATTGCACAGTGGCAGATAGGACAGCAATCCAGAGGGTTAACATCATTGCCCAAAGGATCAGTGGTTGCCTTCTCTCCTCTTTGGAAGAGCTTTATAGCTCCTGCTGCCTTAAGAAAGTTCGAAATATTCTTAAAGATCCATCTCATACTGGGCACCTTTTTTTTTTTTGAACTATTACCATCTGGCAGACGGTACAGGACAATAAAGACAAGGACAAATAGGCTGAAAAACAGCTTCTATCCCAGGGCAGTAACTATATTGAATTCTACTGTATAGTGCAGAGGTCTGCAACCTTAAGCACTCGAGGAGGACCCGTTTCCCACTGAAAAGAAAACACCGGGAGCCATAAAACCCTTCCCGTGCCTGACTATTTCTTGAGCGGCCACAAAACTGATGTCAGCATTCTGATGCTGCCATAAAAAGACGAGGCTTGACTTTTCACCTACTTATTTTCTCTGTAGATAATATCCCCTAGGAGATGGGATGGGAGGGGGGAACATTCCTGTGGGGTGAGGTCAGAAGCTGGGGAAACTGACTTGGAAGATGGCCAATGAGAAGATGAGAATTGGGGAACGGAAAGGGAAGGGTTTGGGGGTCAGAGGGTTAGTATTGGCTACAACGAAGTCAGGGCCAGATCTGTCGTACTCAATAAATGGAATATTTCAGCAAAGATTAATTGTTTGGGAGTGCAATTTATTTGAGATGACATCGAAACCTGACAACTAGCATATGTAGTTGAATTAAACATTCTGTTTTCTTCTGAAACTTTTCTTTTCTTGGATTTATCCATGGTTGACCTACCGGGGGGTTGAAAAGCTCAATAAATTGTGTGCCAGCAGGTGTCGCCCACTGGCAGTTGAGAGGCATATTCTGCGTGACAGGGAGCTGCAGCAGAGGGATGAAAGAGCCACATGCGGCTCCAGAGCCGCAGGTTGCTGACCCCTGGTATAGTGCAATATTAATGCAATATCGGGTTTTCAATTTCAATTATATAGAATGTGAAGGATGTGTGTTTGTGTTTTTATTTTTATAGTTACAATGTACACTGAAGATGGCATTTAATTTAGTTGTACGAGGTGCAATGACAATAAATTAATGAGCCAATTGTACTTTATTGTTGGGCAACATTAAAAGAATCTCGCAAGTATCCCTGCTACAGGTAGTCCTTGGCTTAGGTTCACAATTGAGCTCAACATTTTCTGTTGCTAAGCGGGGCAGTTGTTCAGTGAGATTTGCCCCGTTTTATGACATCTCTTACCACAGCTGTTCAGTGAATCACTGCAGTCGTTAAATTAGCAGCACGGTTGTTAAATGAATCTGGCCTCCCCACACCGACATGGCTTTTCAAAAGGTAGCCAAAGGAGAGTTCATGACTCCGGAACACTGCCACCGTCATAAATATGAGCACCTGCATTTTGATTACGTGACCACGGGGATGCTGCAATGGCCGTTAAGTGTGAAAAACGGTCATAAAACACTTTGTTCAGTGCCGTTGTAACTTTGGTCACCAAATGAACTTTAAGTCGAGGACTACATGTATTTTTAACCACCTGATCCATTAATGGGGGGATCCTTCCTAAATTTCAATCTCTGACCAGGAAGCCACGGGTGGCTACTGCCTTTCTTGTTAATTCATTTCCTAGGCAGCATCTCTTCCCCTCAACCCCCAAGGTCATCTACACATTCTGTTACACCCCAACATGTAAACGCGCATCATAATTTTAAATAAATAAGTATTTTTTTTGGAAGTCCAGCTTTAATGCTATTCTATGCTCAGCTCCTTCATCAGAAAAACTAACATCTTTCCTCTGCAACAGGGTGGATAAAAATCAATGATTTTTTAAAAAAAAAATAAAAAAAAACAGATTTTTTTTGATTTAAATCGGATTTTTTTTAATTTAAACCGGATTTTTTTTTATTTTTATCAAATTTATTTTAATAAAATGCTTTGGGAGTAAAAATCTATCTAAAGATAGTTTTCTATTTAAGATACATTAATAATTTAGTTTAATCAGCATGAAATGGACCTTAGTTATGTAGCATGAGGCTGTATATTCTGCAATATTGGGACTGTTGGTGAGTCAACAGTGGGTCAGAGGAGGAGCCGCTGCCAGAAAAGAGATGTCAGCTGCTCTTTAAAAATTATGATTTAAATCGAGTTGATTTAAATCAAGCCTTTTTACTAGTGATTTAAATCATGATTTAAATCAAATCCACCCTGCTCTGCAATGAAGCTTGGGCTGGATACCACGCTAGGCGTAACCGCGAGTTAGCTTACAGCGCTATGCCAAAGGTGTCTAAATGGCCAAATCAAAGATGCTGCAAAGATGGGAGACTCACCGCTCGCCGAAGGACACGTCGAAGTTTTCGATGCGTACGTCATAGGACTTGTTCTTGCCTGACATTTCGAGACGGTTCTCTTTCTTACTGGCTGCTTGGCTGGCAGATGCTTCTTCAAGAACCCTGCCATCCAGAACAAGATCACAAACAACCATTAGGACCAGGGAGAGTACATGTTCCTTTCCTTTTGCTGGAAGAGTCAGTTTCCCACATGCAACAATGCAGTTCTCTCCCCTTCTGTTTAACGTGTGCATGAAATCCCTGGCTGAGGTCATCTCTTGGCTTGCAGTCAGATATGAGTATACTAGGTAAAGGTAAAAGTTTCCCTTCTTCTGTTGAGTCCAACTCTGGGGGGGGGGGGGCAGTGCTCATCTCCATTTCTTATCCAATGGAGCCAGCGTTGTCCGAAGAAAATTCCGTGGTCATGTGGCCAGCATGACTATACACCGTGGCACATGGAATGCTGTTATCTTTCTATCAAAGTGGTACCTATTTATCTCCTTGCATTTGCACGCTTTTGAACTGCTAGGTGAGCAGGAGCTGAGGCAAGGAACGGGAGCTCACCCTGTTATACGGCGCTTGGGTCTCGAACCTGGGGTGCCAGCTTTCTAGCTGACAAACTCAATGTCTTTAGCAGCTGAGCCATTATGCCCCCATCATTGGTATGCTGATGATACCTGATTATACACCTTGACCCTCAATCACTCAAGGGATATCATCATTATCATCATCTTATTCCAGTATCTGAAAGCTATGACAGATGAACTCTGAAGACCAGTGGTGGGATTAATTTTTTTTTTACTACCAGTTCTGTGGGTGTGGCTTGGTGGGTGTGACAGGGGAAGGATACTGTAAAATCTCCATTCCTTCCCCACTCCAGGGGAAGGTTACTGCAAAATCCCCATTTCCTCCCGATCAACTGGGACTCGGGAGGCAGAGAATAGATGGGGGGGGGAGGGGGGGAGCAGGCAGAAGTGGTATTTATCGGTTCTCTGAACTACTCAAAATTTCCGCTACCGGTTCTCCAGAACTGGTCAGAACCTGCTGAAACACATCTCTGCTGCCCTCTGGAACAATGTCCCCACCCAGAGATTCATATGGTTTATGGTCTGACGAAATCCAGGAACTCTTTCAAAATCTGGCTATTATCCCAGGGCTTTGAATTTAGATGGAGTCCAAAGTCCTGTTCAAATATATTTGGCTGGAAAATGGTGGCTAAATGTGGAAGCTACTTCTATTCAACCCCATTCTATTCTCCTTTATGTCAGCCACACCCTGATCTCTTCTGCTTCCTTCCCCATAAGCAGTGGAAAGACTGAGGCATTAAGAAATTGACTCTGGTAAAATTAGCCCTCCCACTGTTGAGAAGCAGGTGCCCCACTCCAAGACCATCACCCTTCACTCACAACGGGCTCCCAGATTTGACAGAATCTCGCTCCTGCTTCTTGCATTGCTTTGCTTTAAGGCGGGCCTCGGCTTTCTCCAGCTTTCTGGCGTTCACAATCTGCAACGCAAGAGATGGACAGCAAAGAATGATCAGAGAGAGCCACCAGTAGCCAGAGAGAAGATGTGAGAGGAAATTAAAAGAAGAGGATAAGGACCTATGGGTAATCCTTGATCCAAAGGTGCTTTTTCAAGAGGCAACTGGACTTTCTGGTTTTTCTTTGAAGACATTTCTCTTCTCATCCAAGAAGTTTCTTTTCTAAGCAGAGGATTGGACTAGAAGACCTCCAAGGTACCTTCCAACTCTGTGATTCTGTTCTCATTCCCTATCCTATCCTATCCTATCCTATCCTATCCTATCCTATCCTATCCTAATTGTCTTCAGGTCTGTTGTGGCTCTGTTACCTGAGCCTGTGTCATCGGCAGGAGAGGACTCCGAGAGTGAAGGAGAGGAGTTGGCAAGGCCTCCCTCTCCAGGACCCTCCTCTCTGGCAATGCCTTCAGTGTCTGCCGAAGGGCAAGAGATAGGGCTGGGGCCAAGCATGTCCACGCAGCCACAGATGGACAGTGATGAGGGTAATGAGTTTTGGCTGGATCCACGCCAGCATTGCAGAGATAAGCGCGCGCAACAGAAGAAAACGCATGCCCAAGATTTGTCTGAGTCACTGGACCATACCCCACAGGATATAAAAGGGAGCGTGGTGGCCAGTCAAACCTTGTGACGAACAAAGCTGAAAGCTTCCACGCCATTCTGCATTGCCGGACTTTTGCTATAGACTTTGCTGGATTATCTCTGGACTTGATTGACTCCGTAATTATTGAGCTGTTTCTTTTGATGTATCAGAAGTGGGGAGAAGTTATCTCTCCTCTTTGTAAATAATAAACTCTTGGCAGGCAGCCACTAACTAGGTTGTTGCCAAGTTCCGTTATCATAAGGAAAAGGATTTTGCCGGCTGGTTTAGTCTTTAACTCTTGAACGTCTGTTGGTGTGTGTGCGTGTGGTTGGGGACAGAACAAGGTCTGTCCCAAAGGTGCTTCTTCAAAAGCACTTTTGGGACAACCACGACCTGGATGACTGAGAATCTTCATAGGCATTTAGGTAATCCTTGACTTACAACCTTTCATTTAGGGATTGTTCAAAGTTACAACAGCACTGAAAAAATCTGACATATGACCATTTTTCACACTTACAACTGTTGTAGCATCCCCTGTGGTTACACGATCAAACTTCAGAAGTTTGGCAACTAGCTCATATTTATGATGGTTGCATTGTCCCAGGGTCATGTGATCACCTTTTGTGACCCTGTGACAAGCAAAGTCAGTGGGGACACCCGATTCACTTAACAACTGTGTTACTAACTTCACAACTGCAGTGATTGACTTAGCGACTGTGGCCAGAGAGGTCGTAAAAATGGGCAAAACCCCCCTCACTTAGCAACAGAAATTTTGGGTTCAATTGTGTAAATCGAGGACTACCAGCATTTGCTAACAACCTGCCTTCCATGGAGGACCTGTATAGTGCATGAGTCACAAAGAGGGCTGTGAAAATATTTACAGACCCCTTGCATCCTGGACATAAACTGTTTCACCTACCCTCAAAACGATGCTATAGAGCACTACACACCAGAACAACTAGACACAAGAACAGTTTTTCCCCAAACACCATCACTCTGCTAAACAAATAATTCCCTCAACACTGTCAAACTATTTACTAAGTCTGCATTACTATTAATCTTCTCATCGTTCCCATCACCCATCTCCTCCCACTTATGACTGTGTATGATGGTAATCTTATTGCTGGTATCCTTACGATTTATATTGACTGTTTCCTAATATGATTTGATTGCTTATTTGTTCCCTATGACTATCATTAAATTGTACCTTATGATTCTTGATGAACGTATCTTTTCTTTTATGTACACTGAGAGCCAATGCACCAAGACAAATTCCTTGTGTGTCCAATCACACTTGGCCAATAAAAAATTCTATTCTATTCTATTCTATTTGGTCTGGTCTTATTATAAGGAGTTTGATTTGGTTTTTCTTTTTAAGCCTCCGTCTGTATTGTGATTAAGGATGTCCACATAACTAAAGTCTGTATCCGTGGAAAAAAGGGCCAGGGAACAACAGCAAAATAAGCTGTTTACTGGAGCTCTGAAGCAAATATTGGGAGAGGGTAGATCATCAGATGGTTTTGGACAACAGATCCAAACATCCCATAGTAGGAGCCAACATTAGTTGGTAGAACTAAGAAGTGCTCCAAAATGTGAGCGATCCAGCTTTGAAATCTACACAGACTCAATTGTTAGGGATCAATAGTAACAAAAATTGCCATCATGATAGCCTTACCGAAGTCTGATCTCTCTTCAACAGCAGTCCTGGCAACAAGTCCAAGTTAGAATCTGCAACCAACAACAAAACAATAAATAAAAATAAATCTTACTTCAAGAATCCCAGCATGAATTGAAATCCTTATCCCCACTTATTCTATAAGGAAGTGCATATGCCAGTATTTCTCAACCTTGACCGCTTGAAGACAGTCTGGACTTCAACTCCCAGAATTTCTCACCCAGTCCCTTCTGGGAGTTGAAGTCCAGATGCCTTCAAGCGGGAAACACTGGCATGTCCCACATTAACTTTCTGGTGCATTTATCACACCAGATGTTTAACAGGTTCCCCCAACTCTGTCTAACCTCGATGTTTCTAATTTCAGTGTGCTGGAACATGGCAGCACATCAAGGGTATGGGGTGTTTGTGTGAGTGCGTTAAATACTAACGGGTCAAAAATTTCCCTGCTTCTCCCACCATTTATGATTCTTATTGTTTCCAGAACTTGCTCTTCATAAAAGCAGTTGTAAAATCAAGTCTGGTCACACACACGACTCAACTTACAATCAAAATTCCAGGCTTAACTGTGATCGTAACTCAAGGACTACCTGTATATATTCCCTCCCCCCCGCCCCCCGATTTATTTGGTAGTCTTGAAAAACTTGGGTTGTTTTCTGAAAGCACTTTTTAAAAAATTCTTTTGAAAGCCTACAATCCCAAGAGAAGGAAACCACGTGCCTCTTGATGATGTCTGGTTGATAGAGGTATAGAAAAGATTAGAATCTACACAGTTCTTACATTCCGAGTAAACGCAAGAGACCGCTGCACTACTCACCGTAATTGTCAGTGATCTTAGAAAGCTGAATTGGGGCATCCAGGAGAACCTGCCGGCTGCTCGGAGAGTTTTCGTTCTCCCTGTCCAGAAACAAGAGTTGTTACTTAACAAAACTCTACAGATTGCTCCCACCGTGTCCTCATCCCATCATTGCAAACCTTTCTCACATTGGGGGATGCTTATGTAGTCAGCGCTATAATAGGTATCCTGGCTTCCCTGATGCTTAATTAAAATAAGCCCTGGTAGCACAGTGATTAAAGTGCAGTATTGCAGGCAAACTCTGCCCTGAGCCTGGAGTCTGATCCCCTGATGGGGCTCAAGGTTGACTCTGCCTTCCATCCTTTTTGAGGTTGATAAAATGAGAACCCAGATTGTTGGGTGCAATATGCAAAGGATGCTTACATTGTAACCCACCCAGAGTGTGTTGTAAAGTGTTATGGGGGGGGGAGGGGGATCTATAAACCTAAATATTACAGATAGTCCTCAATTTAGGACCACAATTGAGCCCAAAATTTATGTTGCTAAATGAGAAATTTGTTAAGTACCATATTTTTTGGACTATAAGATGCACTGGACTAGAAGACGCACCTAGATTTACAGGAGGAAAACAAGAAAATAAATAGTTTTTGGCCTCAGCGCATCGCGTTTTCGTCCTCCCTGGCCCCCAGAAGCACTCTGCAGTGCTCCGCACGTCCCGTTTTTGCCAAAAACGGGCTCATTTTTGGCCTGCAGTGTGATTCTGGGGGCCGGGGGGGGGGTAAAAACGTGACGCACGGAGATTTCGGGAGCCCCAAAACAGGGCCGTATTCGGTCTATAAGATGCACCGAAATTTTCACCCACTTTTAGGGGAGGAAAGTGCGTCTTATATTCCGAAAAATACGGTAAGTTTTGCCCCATTTTAAGACTTTTCTTGCCATGTTTCTTAAGTGAATCATTGCAGTTCTTGAATTAGTAATACGGCTGTTAAGTGAATCTGGCTTCTCCATTGACTTTGCTTGCCTGAAGATAGCAAAAAGAGATCACATGACCCCGGGACACTGCAACCGTCATAAATGTGAGTCAGTTGTCAAGCGTCCAAATGTAAGGATGCTGCAATGGTCATAAGTGTGAAAAATGGTCCATAAGTCACATTTTTTCAGTGCCGTTATAACTTTGAACGGTCCCTAAATGAACAGTTGTAAGTTGAGGACTACCTGTATTGTTATAATATATAAAGGTTGCTTGCATTCTCAAGTTCTACCCAAAGGGTCTTGGTGGATTCTGGACCTCTAGTTTCGGCTTCATGTATTATTAAATCATCATCACAAGTGAAGAAAGCACATCTGTTTGGTTTCTCATGACCCTATTTTAATCAGAGGCAACTTACAGATGAAGGGTGTTGAACATACGCTGGCAGATGGCACGGATGTCCACGTCATCTTTGGAGTCTCGGGATACATCTTGCAAGAGCTCGCCGACGGCTTCAAATAGATCGTCCACCGTCTCAAAATCTGAGCTGCCACTGTGCAGGACCCCTGCCAAAGAAATGAATTGTTAATGCAAGGCTGAGACCCCCCACAGGCATTCCAGCTGGGGAATTCTGGGAGTTGAAGTCCAGGCTTCTTAAAGTTGCCAAGGTTGTTGTTTTAGAGGCTTAGCTAGTAAGATAGTCGGAAGAGGGAAATAGCATTACCAATAGCACTTAAGACTTATACACCGCTTCACAGTGCTTTTACAGCCCTCTCTAAGCGGTTTACAGAGTCAGCATGTTGCCCCCAACAATCTGGGTCCTCATTTTACCCATCTCGGAAGGATGGAAGGCTGAGTCAACCTTGAGCCTGGTGGGATTTGACCTGCTGAACTGCAGGCAGCCGGCAGGCAGCAAAAGTAGCCTGCACTTCTGCACTCTAACCACTGTGCCACCACGGCTCTTGAGATGAGAAAGAATCTCATTTTGGCTTCCCCATTGACTTTGCATGTCAGAAGGCCGCAAAAGGGGATCATGAGACACTGCAACAGTCATAAATACGAGTCAGTCATCTGAATTTTGATCACGTGACCACGGGAGAATGCTGCAATGGTCATTAAGTGTGAGAAAAGGGTCCTAAGTCACTTTCTCCAGCCCCATTTGGAACTTCAAACAGTCACTAATCAAACTGTTTGAAGTCAAAAACTACCTGCAGGCAGATTTGAACTATAATACTGATTCTAAAATATAAATTGCTACGGTTATTTAATCCAGAATTAAACAAGTCTGGTTATGCATAATCTCTTGCTTCTGCCACAGTTTAGCCATGTGTGATGTCTTCTACTGAAATACAAAATGGCGCATCTTTCAGCTTACTGAAAGGAGTCACACCAGACTTTGGCTTACCCTACAATAGCTTGAAATGAATCAAAATTAAACTTGGGAAGGGAAGCAAGAAGAAAAGGGAAAATGTTTTCTCTTTGCTAAATGCCAGGCCTGGAAGAGCAGAACCAAAGAAAAGAGCAATATCTCAGGTTTTTAGTACACTGAATTCAACTGAACAGTAATTCTAATTGAAATAATGCAGACTCGCTTCAGCGTAAATACCTAATGAATTATGGTGAAAATGAAGTATGAAATCTGCCAAATACTTAGCTGAGATCATCAGCTGAAAACATAGATGCAGCAAGAACATGGGAACAACGCCATTTAAAAACACATATATACTCTTTTTATAGCATTTCTTCCTTTATAACACATGAGCATTTTATGTTGGTGCTCAAATTTTTCTTACAGAGGTCACAGGCTAAAAATACATGAGAACATCTACTCTGGAATAAGATATTGGATTTGCTTTATGAGCACCCAGCTAATATCTGCTTACATTTATCCAATGCTTTTGAGTATATAAATCATTTCGCATTTATGACCTATAGCGTGATATGGCATTATTATCTCCATATTTCAGAGGGCTGGAGAACAGTTGCAAAGAGTTGTGAGACCTGATGGCAAAGGAAAAGTTGGCAATAAACTTAACTCTTTCCATAAGATGTCTTTTGCTCCCTAACCCACACTTCCAACAATTACACAAATCTATTTTAAACCAATTTCCAATCAAGATATTTGAAATGTTGGATGGCAGAAGTTGTTCAATACACCCGTTCAAAGGAAGGCAGCCTCTAATCTGAACTAGATCTTCCACTTTTGAGCAGAATTTCCGAAAGGTGGGACCTTTTGGACAGGGCTGGGAGGGAAACTGAGGAAGATTAAGATACAGATGTTGTGGGATGAGCAAACTGCAGACATTAGGATCTGTCTAACTAACAACTGATCTGGATGGGACACAAGCAGGAAAATGACAGCTACAGCCTAGGCAGGAAATTAAAAAAATAAATAAATCAAAACAAGACAAAATCAAACCATTTCTATATTGCTGGTAAGAAAACTTCATAGTGACATCCATGAACTCATTTTGAGTCAAGCTCCTGTATAAAACAAACCCGATCTTACCTTTTTCCTGGACACAGCTATGTATTTTCTTTAAGTAAATGTGAAATTTACTTAATTTGTAAATTTAATAGTAGTCTGCACTACTATTAATCTTCTTATCGTTCCCGTCACCCATCTCCTTCCACTAATGACTGTATGACTGTAACTTTGTTGCTTGTATCCTTACAATTCATATTGACTGTTTCCTAGTATGATTTGATTGCTTATTTGACTATCATTAAGTGTTGTACCTTATGATTCTCGATGAACGTATCTTTTCTTTTATGTACACTGAGAGCGTATGCACCAAGACAAATTCCATGTGTGTCCAATCACACTTGGCCAATAAAATTCTATTTAAAAAAATGGTTTGATATTGGCTTCTTCTCAGGGGTCCAATTAAAACTCGGACCACATGTTTTCTGAATAGTTTTTATCCCAGAGCTATCATTGCACTCAACAATGAACTAAAGGGCCACCATCAGTGAACTGTTGGACAGCATTACTTGGTCTGTTGTGTGGATGTTTGGGTGGTTTGGGGGTGGGGAATTGGGGTGGGTGGGAATGTGTTTGGGGATTGTTATGTGTGTTGGGCCTGGTCTTTGGGTGTTAAGTGAATTTCGTTGTATGAGTATACTGTGTATACACGTACAATGACAATAAAGTTTTTTTTAATTTGATTTTATATGCCGCCCTTCTCCGGAGACTCAGGGCGGCTTACAGTGCGTTAAGCAATAGCCTTCATACTTTTGTATATTTTATACAAAGTCAGCTTATTGCCCCCACAAACTGGGTCCTCATTTTACCTACCTTAGAAAGGATGGAAGGCTGAGTCAACCTTGAGCCTTGGCGGGATTCGATCTTACTTTAATTGCAGACAGCTGGTGTTAAATTACAGTGCTTCTGTCTGTTGAGCTAAACCAGGCTCAAACCAAGTTTGATACCAAGTTATTATTATTATTATCAAACCAAGTTATTATTATTATTGTCCTGGATGAAGGGGTTGAATTCACTCCAAATTCCAGAACTGTTTTTATTAAACTAGAGAATGTCGCTCTATATCACTGTTTCTTAAAGTTGGCAAGGATAAGAAGGCTTCAACTCCCAGAATTCTCCAGCATGACTGGCTGGGGAAATTCTGGGAGTTGAAGTCCACATATATCTTAGAGTTGTTAAGGCTGAGAAATACTGCTTTATAACCTGGAAAGCCAAAGAAGGAAGTTTTAGGCCCTGAGATCCAACCCTTTCCCCCTCCAGCCCTGAATTTCACCTAATAGCCCTAAATGTGGGAAAACGTCCCAGGAATGGGAATTTCTGAAGAGTCTTTGAATGGGAGACCACTAAGAGATCTCAGGAATGGATGGAGGCAGGAAGTTGCTAGCAGTTGAACTCAATGAGGTGGTGCTTTTAACCAGGATTAGAGCTTGGAGAGAAAAAAAAGCTTTTTCGTCTCTTTGCCCGATTTAGGGCTTCCAAACCAGCCTTTTTATACCTACTGGGAAGCGCAAACTTTGATCAGGGCAGCAAGCCTCACCTGGCAAAAGGCGCCCCCCCCTTTTTCTAGGCATGGACTAGTCCAGGGACGCGCTGACCACAAGGGCAACGCTTCTAAGGGGACGTACCAATGCATTAGGGAGGGGGGGGGAAGAGATCCAGAAATCTCGTGATCCTCCGAGCCCACCGTGCGACGCTCGAGCGGACCCTCCTTCCCCCGCCACGAGATCCTTTCAGCTTCCCTCAGGAGGCTTCACCGCCCTCGTTAGCTTCCTCCGACCCTTTCCAGAAGCCGGGACAAGCCACCCTGGGAACGGCAAGCCGAGGCCCAGGCCGACCCCCAGGAAGCCTAATCCTTCGCCGCCTCAGCTTCACTCACCGGTCACGTATTCGAACATCTCTCCGTCGAGCTCCGGGAACTCCCTCCGCAAAATCTCCGCGCAGGAGGCCGCCATGGCAGCCCGGCCGCTGGGCCTTCCTCCCTCAGCCGACTGCAGCGTTGGCCGCCGCGGTGGTTCTTGGGAAACGTAGTCCTCCGCTGGAGCCGTAAAAGGCCTGCCGCAGAGGCTTCTGGGAAACCGAGGCCGTTTGAAGCTGTGGCGGAAGGAGGCCCTGTTTGCTAGGTTTTTTTTTTTTTTTTTTTTTTTTTGAGAGAGGGAGTTCAGAGCAAAAATGGCATCAACGTTAATAAAGCAGACGAGGCCTCTGTGTGGGTCTCTTCTCATACCAGAGCTGGTTGATATCCATAAGCCAAATAAGCTCAAATGTTGGTGTAGCGCGCAGGGGTCTGCAACCTTAAACACTCAAAAGAGCCATTTGGACCCGTTTACCACAGAAAAGAAAACACCGGGAGCCACAAAACCTGGGTGGGCGTGGCCAACTCACTTCCACCAGTCACATGATCCCCTAGCCACGCCTACCCAGCCAGTCATTAGGGCATAGAACCAGTTGTTAAAAACACTACAAAACCCTTTTGACATCTCTCCTTCCCTCCCACCTCTCTCCCTTCCTCCCCTCTCTGTATCTCTCTGTATCTCTCTCTCTCCCCCTCTCTCTGCCTCTCTCTCTCCTCCCATCTCTCTGTATCTCTGTCTCTCTCCCCCCCTCTCTCTCTATCTCTCTATTCCTCTCTCTCTCTCTCTCTCCCCCTCTTCTGTATCTCTCTATGTCTCTCTCCCACTCTCTCTATATCTCTATATGTCTCTCTCTCTCTCTCCCCCTCTCTCTGTATCTCTCTATGTCTCTCTTCTCTCCCACCACTCTCTCTGTATCTCTCTCTCTCTCCCCCTCTCTGTATCTCTCTATGTCTCTCTCTCTCCCCCTCTCTCTGTATCTCTCTATGTCTCTTTCTCTCCCACTCTCTCTGTATCTCTCTCTCTCTCCCCCTCTCTGTATCTCTCTATGTCTCTCTCTCTCCCCCTCTCTCTGTATCTCTCTATGTCTCTTTCTCTCCCTCTCTCTCTGTATCTCTCTCTCTCTCCCCCTCTCTGTATCTCTCTATGTCTCTTTCTCTCCCACTCTCTCTGTATCTCTCTCTCTCTCCCCCTCTCTCTCTCTCTCTCTGTCTCTCTCTCTCCCCCTCTCTCTGTATCTCTCTATGTCTCTCTCTCTCCCCCTCTCTCTGTATCTCTCTGTCTCTGCTCCAGCCACTTCTCCATCACCCACCGTCACTCTTTCCTTCTCAGGCTAGTCGAGGAGTGATTGGGAGGGGAGGGCGAGGGACGGGGCTAGCCAGTGGTGGGATCACCCGACAGGAAGCAACAGGAGACGGCCCAAAGAGCCGCATGTGGCTCTGGAGCCGCAGGTTGCTGATACCTGGTGTAGCGCTTGGTTAAGGAGACCATTAGGCCAACCTGGGCTATTGGCTAAACTGGGAAATTCACCTGGAAGAAAACGATGGGTAACCTTTTGGCAAGAAGAATGAAAAAAGCATCAGGAATGGAGTGCTGTTCAATTGACAAGCCTTGCATAGCCAATAATAATATCAGTTAATTGCAAAAGGCAGCTTTGCTCCAAACAGCTTAAATCCTGCCATGATACTTCTAATATAGGGGTGTCCAAACCTGGCCCCTTGAAGAGTGGTGGACTTCAACTCCCAGAATTCCCCAGCCACCATGTGCTATAAATATGAGCAAGTTGCTGGCTGGGGAATTCTGGGAGTTGAAGTCCATCACTCTTCAAGGGAGTGTTTGAACACCCCTGTTCTAATACCATAAAACAGCGTTTCTCAACCTTAGCTGGCTGGGGAATTCTGGGAGTCAAAGTCCTCATTTATTTATATTTATATTTATTTATATTTATATTTATTTATTTATGTATTTATTTCGTCAAGCATGTATTAGATAACAGATATAAGTAGAAACATGATTATGAATACACGAAACGGATACAAATAAAAGGGAATAGTAGGACAGGGACAGTTGGCACAGTGGTGCGCTTATTCACGCCCCTTAAAGACCTCTTAGGAATGTGGGGAGGTCTACGGTAGGGAATCTACGCTTAAAGTTTTGGGGGTCTGGGGAAAAAAACCACAGTCAGGTAATGCGTTCCAGGCATTAACAACTCTGTTACTGAAGTCGTATTTTCTGCAATCAAGTTTGGCGTGGTTTATCATACGTTTGTATCTGTTGTATGCTTGTGTATTGTTGTGGTTGAAGCTGAAGTGGTCATTGAGAGGTAGGACATTGTAGCAGATAATTTTATATGCTATGCTTAGGTCGGACCAAAGTCGGCGTAGTTCTAAGTTGTCTAAGCCCAAAATGTCAAGTTTGGTGGCATAAGGTATTCTGTTGCGAGCAGAGGAGTGGAGGGCTCTTCTCGTGAAGTATCTCTGGACTTGTTCAATTGTATTAATGTCCGATATGCAGTGCGGGTTCCAGACAGATGAGCTGTATTCAAGAATTGGTCTAGCAAAAGTTTTGTATGCCTTAGTGTGCAGTTCAATATTACCGGAGAAGAAGCTATGCAAGATTGGGTTAACAACTCTTAATGCCTTTTTGGCAATGCTGTTACAGTGAGCTCTTAAAGTTGCCAAGGTTGAGAAACACTGCCATAAAACATCAACATCTGCCTATCCCAGGTCCTTAGGAAGGACTCAATAGGTGGATAAAAGTGCCAAATCCGGTCTGAACTGAAATCCAAGCTGACTGTGTAACGAACCATCATAACTACAAGCAAGGACTGGTGGGACCACAAAATAGACAAAAGTAATAGAAAATGAGGAAACTAAAGTGCTCTGTAACTTGGCAATTCAAAGAGGTAAGCACCTGGCCATGTACCACCTCAGACTTTAACTCATTGGTAATAAAAAAGACAAAATGCCTGGATAGAGGATGTGGCAGTCTCTGGAGACAGCAGAATAGAAAAGAAAGAACTGGCGAAAATAACAAAATACAAAGAACTGTAAATGAAGAGTGTAGAATGTACATGTAGAATGTAAGTGTAGAATGACGGTGGCAAAAAAAGTGGTAGCGCAGCAGACTAAAGCACTGTTATTAACATCAGCTGCCTGCAATTACTGCAAGTTCAAATCTCACCAGGCTCAAGGTTGACTCAGCCTTCCATCCTTTCTAAAGTAGGTAAAATGAGGACCCAGATTGTGGGGGCAATAAGCTGACTTTGTATAAATATACGAAAGTATGAAGGCTATTGCTTAACGCATTGTAAGCCGCCCTGAGTTTTCGGAGAAGGGCAGCATATAAATCAAATTAAAAAAAAATAAATTGGCATTATTGGCATTCTAAACAACAGCGCAGACACACAGACATACAGCTCATTCCAAAGGGCAGGTTTTGCTACAAAAAAACAGTGCTTTGGGGTCCTGAGAAATGACATCGATCAGCGGTTCGAATCCCTAGTGCCGCATAACGGGGCGAGCTCCCCTTACTTGTCCCAGCTTCTGCCAACCTAGCAATTTGAAAGCATGTAAAAAATGCAAGTAGAAAAACAGGGACCACCTTTGGTGGGAAGGGAACAGCGCTCTGTGTGCCTTTGGCATTTAGTCATGCTGGCCACATGACCATGGAGACGTCTTTGGACAGTGCTGGCTCTTCAGCTTTGAAACGGAGATAAGCATCGCCCCCTAGAGTCGGGAACGACTAGCACATGTGTGCAAGGGGAACATTTACCTTTACCTTTATGTCAACCCTGCAGGATCGAATTGACTGAGCAAGCAGTCCCTTGAGTAACCATGACCTATGCCACCTATTGTATATGATAATTTAAAAAAAAATCAGTAAAAATATACATTATTTCAGCAAACGATGTAAAGAAAGGTATAGTGCAAACTCTAAATAATAGCCTAATTTTAAACCGAAGAAAAAGTTTGGCCATGTTTATGTTAAGCCACCAGATGGCAACACCAGATGGCTTTGGATGTGCATTTCATTTACTGTTTCATTAGCCCAGTAGTGCCTAAGAATAAGCAAGCTATGAATGGGCTGGTGATTCATAAAGATCAAATTTGTGTGACATGCTAGATCAAATCCAAGAAAAGCCACTGCCTAGAGCCCCCTCTGAAAGAGATGGGCAATTAAGAAATATGAAATATAGAAAGAAAGAAAGAAAGAAAGAAGAAAAGAAAGGTGAAGAAAAGGAAAGAAAGAGACAGAGAGAGAGATTGAGAGAGAAAAAGAAAGAAAGAAAGAAAGAAAGAAAGAAGAAAAGAAAGGTGAAGAAAAAGAAAGAAAGAAAGAGACAGAGAGAGAGATTGAGATAGATAGATAGATAGAGAGAGAGAGAGAGAGAGAGAGAGAAAGAAAGAAAGAAAGAAAGAAAGAAAGAAAGAAAGAAAGAAAGAAAGAAAGAAAGAAAGAAAGAAACAAGTGCAATGATTACTGGATTTCCCTCCTGGTGGGAAAAATGTCCAGCACGCCAGAGAGCTGCTCTTCTGGTTTCCAGTACGCCCGCATGTATGAAGACCAGCTGAACCCAGAAGAGCAATGGGCGACGGCTGGCATGCCCACTTCCGGCACGCGTGCCATAGGTTCACCATCAGAACTACTCTTCCAGTTTCTGGTGCTCCCGCATGTGCACGTGGGGAGCTGTTCTTCTGGTTTCTGGTGCTCCCCCCCTGCATGCGCGCTCCCGTTTTGGCACTTGGTGCTGAAAAGGTTCACCAACACTGGTATAGGGTCTCCTGCATGAGCAGTGGGTTGGACTAAAAGACCTCCAAGATCCCTTCCAGCCAGTGGTGAAATCTAAAATTTGTTACTACCAGTTCTGTGGGCATGGCTTGGTGGTGGTGGTGGGTAATGTGACTGGGTGAGCGTGGCCAATTTTTTTTAACTTTTAAAACCATTTTTTACATGTAAAACCATGTAAAAAAATGCTTTCAAAAGGCTCTGACGATCCCAACTGAGTTGCCTGATCGTCAGAGGGTTTTTAAAAAACCCTCTGCCGATCAGGCAACTCAGCTGGGATCGTCAGAGCTTGGATTGTCAGAGGCATTTAAAAGAAAAAAAGCCTCTGATGATCACACGGCTCAGCTGGGTATGGGGGGCGGGGGCAGGGATTTTTGCTA